CCCCCCCCCCCNTTTTCCCCCCCCCCCCCCCGCAATAGCATTCAGAACTTTTTCCTGAAGCTCCTTGATATGCCAGTATAAAACGCATTAACTAATTTCAGTAAAGTGACATTGAAGGTGCATCAAATGTACCTACAGTAGAAAAAAAAAGGTCGAGAATCAGTTTATTTATTTATCTATCTATTTATTTATCTATCTATTTATTTATTTATTGCATTTTCTCCGTTCTGATATTGTTGGCTTCTATTACCTATAGAAACAGCAAACAATAAATAAATTTATCCTAAAAATATACAAATAGACTTTATACTTAGTAAATTTTCCACTTTACAAATAGTTTCATTTCTTATTTTTCATAAAGTATTACTGTAACGATAAAATAACTTACCTTCAAAGATACTTTAATTCCAGACTTAATAATTTTTCAGTTAATTTATACAAACTGTAGCTTGCAGTTTCATAATGCTTGACGATAATACCTGTTTTGCATTGGATTACCTGTAGGATTTTGATATGATTTCCATTCTAAAATTCTTTTTCTTAATGTACACCTTTCCGGAGAGATAGAAGGTATTCGGCATTAAATTTTTTATGTAAACATTCTGATCTGTTTATTATTTCCTCGATATTACTTTATCATTTCAAAAACACTCAGGATAAACTGAATTTAAAAAATTAATAGTTAATTCACTTCAAGCGTAAATTCACTTCAATTGGAACTTATATTCCCATATAGCACTTATCTTCCGAAACCATTCCCTAGGACCTCCCAAATGCGTCCCTTTCTTCCGAAGGAAGACGCGGATAAATAAAGGAACGCCGTGGGAAATTCCATTCTAACATTCCTACGGATAACGATACGTAGGAAGTCCTTCGGAAACATCGCCTACGGATATTCCTCCACCGGTCATCCGTTAGAAATCAATCCAATGGATTTTTCTCCCTGGTTATTCCGTAGGAGCATCATAATTACTTATGTCTGTGCGTGCAACCGGCTGAGCAATTGCGCATGCGCTAGATGTGCTTGACTAGAATTTAATTCTCACCAAAGAATTTTTGAAAAGTAACCCTGCTGAAGAAATTGCGCGGAGGTATACATAGTTTGTTGCTTACAGGTGTAATCAAGTGTAGCTATGTTGACTGTTGTAATTTTGAGCTCTTCATTTATGATTCAGTAAATAAAGTAAGTTAATCGTTTTGAATAATTTTTTTCAGTTTATAATATTGTATCTATGTATTTTAAACGTTTACCACATTTTATAATTCTAATTATCTGTGTTAAAGTAGTTAATGATTTCCACGTTACTGAGTTAGGCCTAGTAACATACTTGTTCTCCGATTTTATCTTTGATATAATAAGAAATGTCTGTTAATAAAAAGAGTATTATTTTAAAGATACGATAGTTTATTATTTTGTATGTGTTTTGTTTGTATTTTGTTTATTATTTTGTTTGGCTCAGTGGGGCTTTAGTGAGGGAACTTGTTTATTATTTTGATATCAAGTCTTTCCTTCTATTGCCCCTTCTAAGCCGCATCGTTTGATTTCCACAAACAACTTGGAGTTTTTGGGAATCTAATAATGTAGATGTATTAGTAAGTATAATTATATGTATTAGTAGCCTAAGGGAAAGCCATAAGATTCAAATCTACCTCAGCACTTCCTAAAGAGAGTACCCGAGGAAAGTATGCGACCTTGAAACTTCCTCAGTTCTTCCTTAGGAGACTGCCCGGGGAAAGCCATCGGAAAGTATGAGACCTTGAAACTTCCTCATCATTCTTCCTCGGCTCCTCCTATGGAGTGACTTTCGGGAAGCCCGCCGGAGGAACTGAGGAATTGAAAGGTGCGGACATTTTGCATTACTGAGGAGCTCCGCGGGAGGAATTCGGGAAAAGTCGGGAGCTCCGGGGGAGGTTGAGCGATTCCTCCGTGGGAGCTACTACGGAAGAATTTTTGCTATATGGGTTATGAATGCTATTTTAAATATAATCAAACACTTTTTGAAATTGCTAGTTTTATGCACTTCGGAAAATTGCACATCGTTAGAATAAAATACTTCAAAAGAAAAAAATTCTTCGTTTTTTAATTTGCTTAGAAAACATGTGATCGCATATACTACACAGCTGACATAGAACAATTTTTGTTGCAAACGATTTTTTTTTTCATAGGTATTTTTCTTAATAAGTATTGTAATTAATAATATTTTTAATAAATTTAAAGCTATACATACCACATAATTAAATCTTAAGTAGTTTTAATTTTAGTTGTTAGGAGGGAGAAGAAAAAAAGGTAAGGAATTATAAAAATTCAATTTAGAATTAGAGGATCGAATCGTTTACTAATAATTTTTTTAAAAAAACGGAGAAGATAATCTTGTAGAATAAGTTCATTAATGCTGTGCGGTCATATTTTGGTGATATTCATTTATTTTTTGTATTTTTAATCTGGTAGATGAGAGCAGACACAGGACCAAAAAGGGTTAAAAAATCAAAATGTATCATCTATCAGCATGGGATTTCTGGATTCATGTTAAATTTTAAAAATGTGTAAATGAGAAGCTCATGTTTTCCCATTGAGACACACTTGAAATTTTGTCAGAAAAAATTGGGAATTAATGGGGGGAAAATAAAATTGAAATTATTTTTTTAAAAATATTCTATTCTGAAGCATTTTTAAATTTTATGTTAAAGGATGGTGATTGCAGACTTTCTGTATATTTGTGATTTTTTTCTCTTTATTTTGGGGGAAAGATGGGGAGATTCAGGGACGGATTAAGGTTACGCGGGGCCCTAGGCCATTCAAATTTTTGGGGCCTTAGATAAAAAAAATTTCTCGTATATTTTTTATTTATTCAAATATAAAAGTATTTACAGATCTTTTCATTTAAGAAAGAATATTTAAAATTTAAATAAATAATAATAAATTAAATTTTACTTTATTTTATTAAATTAGAACTAAAAAATAATCATAACATTTTGAAAAAAATTTGAAAAATCATTGTTTTTCTTAATTTATTTTCAAATAATCCATTTTAAGGGGGTCCCTAACCATTGGGGGTCCCTAGTCTGGCCTAGAGTGCACAGGCACTCTAGTCTGGCCTAATGGGTGCGTTTTTGAAAGTATGAGAGTGAAGGCCCATTAATTTATTTTTTATTTACTTCTAAAAAGTAGAAGAAAAATACTTTAAATTTTAGAAATCCTAAAACTCAAACCCATTTCTAACTAACAAAGATGGAACATTATCAATAAAGCTATGTAATTTTTTTTCCCCTGAACATTTTCGAAAAAGCTAATTTTTTTTTAAAAAAAATGTCAATTACTTTGTAGTAGAGTTTCAATTCAACTCAATGAAAATTTGATCATGAATCAAATTTTCGTAAAAGTTAAAATTTGACTTTCTTTTTTAGAAATTTCTTTTTGAAATTTCTACAGGGATATGCAATATTTTTTTTAACTTAAATATTTTTAGCAAAATGTATAATCTGTTTAAATTTTTTTTTAACTTTCCAAGGGTCAGCTTAAAAAATTATTTTTCAACTGTGCATAACGGAAGGAATACTTTTGTAAGAAAAATACATAGTTTTAATAATAGTTAATAATTTTTTGACGTCTTTAATACAAATATTTTCAGTCTTTACATTGTTAAGTTAACCGTTGACAGTTGCTTTTAAAGAATATTAATAAAATGCGTTTTTCTTACTCAAAAACAAAATGTGAATTTCGATTGCAATCTATAATTAAAGAGAAATAAAAGAAATTTATTAAATCGCTGACATCAGTAAAATAAATTATAAGTAAATAAACAAAGTGTAAAAACCTGTAAATGAAAACATGTCAGACAACACATCGTTGGCGTGGTGAGGTGGTTTATGTGTAATAATTACAAATTTCTAAAGTACCCTGCCCTTACAAATATTTCAGGCAAATAAGAAAAAAAGAGTTGCATGATTCATACAATTAAACTTAGTAGAATTAGAGACAAGTTAAGAAATGAAACATTTTAATCCTTTTGCAGATATTTACCAAAAACAAATGAAATTTTTTTTTCTTCTAACAGTGGAATTTTTAGAACTATTGTATTTTAATTTCATTCCTCGCAGAAATAGGAAGCGTGAGACACCTGTTTTATACAAGGTCAATTTATAGACTTGTTGATATATTTATGTTACAAGTTTATTTTACTCATAGTTATTTGTAAGATTTGTATCGTTAATTCGAAAAAGCTAATTATTATAAGTTCTCATTGCATTACTATAGAAATCGCTACGTTAAAATTCGAATAATTCTTGGTGTAGCTAATGAGTAAAAAAAGAAAAAGACAAAGAAAGATAGAAATAGGAAGCGAATCAACAAATCAGAAAATTACTTAGTGAGAGTAATAGTAAATGAGTATCTTTTTTAAATGGAAAAATATTGTATGAACTCTCAATTTATATCATCAATTTGAAAATCTTAATTACCTATGTAACCTCCCAAAGTTACAAGACATAATAATTCTAAAGTCTGTTCTTTTCTTAAAAAAAAAAAAGGGAAAAGACAGAAAAGAAATACGAAGTACTTAGATGAAACCGAAAAGCTCCAGAAAATTCTGCTATTTGCCGAGACATGATCTTAGTTTGGGGATCTTTTAATTATATCTATCGCCAAGAATAAGCTATTTTTAGAAACCACTTTAGTGAATAAACATTCTTAGTGAATAAACATCCTTAATGAAGTACGACTCGTGGCTTTAATTTTTTAAACCATAGTCCGAATCATAAAATTCTAGAATTAAATTAAAATTCTTCAACTAATTAATAAATATGTTAAAATAATGGCAATGAATAGAAGTGATAACCATCCATATAAAATTAATTTGAAAAGCTTATTTTTAAATAATAAGAATGAAGTTCTTTTAATTAATTATTAATAAGTAAATTTTTTAAATAAACTAGTTTTGAAATAAATTTATACCGAGGCAATTAATGTCAATAAAACACGATAGATGGCAGCAATATCGCTCATTAAAGTCAACTATTTTTGTTCCACTTCTCTGATTTTACTTCAATCAGCAGTAGAGGCGAGATATTTGTTTAATTGGAACTGTTCAAAAGTTATCTTCATTACGAGACGAATGTTACGTGTATGCGGTAAATTCCGCTAAAAATTTTCCTTGTAGAAATGAAGAATGAGAAAGCAGTAGAAGAAAAGAGTAAAAAGGAGATGGCCGCGCTTTCTAAAGCATACTTATTTTTGTATAATGGTATTCAAAGTGTGGGGTAAGATAATAATTTAGTTATGATATTTAGAATTTTTCATTATTCAAATTAAACTGCTTTTTACATATTTTGTAGATTCTTGTACTTGTGTTCAATAGGCTTATAAATATAAATACGAATAAGTTTTAAAGAATTTATAATTTTTGGCAGGCATGTGATAACTGAATTAATAGAAAATATTAAGTATTCTATGAATAATTGTAATTTCAGCTCTAATCTTAAAAAAAAACGTGTTGCATTGATTGATGATTAAAAGAATTTTTTTTTTTTAATTCTATCGCTTGTTCATGCCCTTACAGTGTAATTCTCTCCTTATTTCAGTTTCTTATCTTTACTAGCTGTTTCTTACATGTAATCGCTGTAGAAAAAATCCTATCCTTTATATCTGCTCATTATGTAATTCTTTTTCTTTTATCATTTTAAGGTGGAGCTGTATATTATTTCAAACTGTGAAACTACTATTAGAAAATAAAGCTGTAGATGACTGTTGGGCTTTGTGTGGGAGAAATCTTCAAATATTCCAAACTTTAGCACTTCTAGAAGTAATTATTTATTTCTCCTAGTACAGTTTCAGTTTGTTTGAGAATTCAATGTTCGCCTTAAATGTTAATTATAACCTGTTTTATTTAAAATCACACCTCACATAACAGTGATAACCTATATTTCTGCTAGTTTTTAGCCCCTACAAACATATATGTTATAAATAGCTTATAGTATTTAAGAGTTGCCAGAAATGGTTTTGAAGTTGTAACTATGAAAACTAACCAAATATTATGTTTACAATAAATTAATGTTTTCCAATGTTAAGCAAAATATAAATAAAAATTATACAATTTAAAGGAGAAAATTTTTATGTTCTTTCTGGTAATTTTCTGTAATATATACTGCAATTTTCACTATATCTTTGCAGGGTTCACCTAGGTGAGCCCAGCCCAGAAAAAAAACAGTGTTTTTTTTCTTATATTAGGATCACTTTAAAAAAAATACATCGTTGTACCCATCAAGTTTTTTTCACATTTTATTATTTCCGATCGGTTTTCTTTGTAATTATCAAACCAAATTGTTCTTTAAAATAATCATTATTGTTTTATAAATTTACCTTAGTAACTTTTTATCCAAAATTAAAAGTTATATGAAATAAAACATATTTCAGTAATCTATTTTTTGCAAAAGAAAATTATGATTCAATATATGAAAGATACAATTATAGAACTCAATACATTAAAAAATAAAGTAAGTACATGATTATTAAAACATATACGTAAACCCAGTTTTCAAAAATTAATATTTTTTAACATTTATAATTTCGAAAAAATTGTCCTTAATGAGTCTTTTTAAAAATTAGACCAAAATAGCCCTATTTTATAATATTTCGATTGTAGACTGTACCTGTTACCATCCAGTGTTATCTTTTGGAGAAGAAAAATCTATGTTTGAAGAAAAAGTTTTAAAGATTGAATCCAGAATTTGGCATAAAACCATAATTTTAAAAATATCAGTTGAAAAACAAAACTTCTCATCTAATTGCTGAATTATTCATTGTTTCTGTAATGACAGCTAGACTGGAAAGAATATTTTCTGATTTTACATTAGTACAGTTGTAACTGTGAAATCAATGATGGACTAAAAAGCAAAAATAGTTTTTGTTATGTTTAAACATTTCAAAAAAAGAAATAATATAATAATTTTACATTTTATGGGTTCAAGAATGTATTTTATTTAATATTTATGAATCTTATTTTTGTCTACTAATATAATTGACAAAAAATTTGTTAATTACAAAAAGGAAGATTGAATTTATATATTGAACATATATACTTATTTATTAATCAAGTGTGAATGCATATTGTAGATATTGGTTGTTTATTCAGAAAATATTTATTAAGTTTTATAAGTTCTACTTGTTCATTAGAATCTTAAATTATGTATTTGGAATGTTTAGGAAACAAATGTTTAAAAGTTGATAATTTTTTGTACATTGTAAGACATATAAAGAATTCATGCTCTGAGAAAAATAAAAATGAACGTACTATGTGCTATAAAACGACATGTTCATTTCATGAATGCATACAAAGTTCTAGAAATTTCATTTTGTTTTTATGCATTTATATACATATATTTATGTGTTTATCTGCATCTTGCATGCAAATTTTATGTTTATAAAACTAATCGCATAATTTATTATTATGCGTTACATTTTACAAGGAATCATTTCAGTAAAAATGGCTGAAATAGTTATTCTAATATCCATTTCTTTTGTTAATTTCTTTGGTAATAATAATAATGTAATATTTTTTTCAGCATGTACTGTATCTTTTATTTATATTTAGTATATATACAGTCAGACCTCGATATAAGGTCATCCACATATAAGGTCACCCCTCATTTAAGGTCACTTTTCCAAAGTCCCGGCTCACTGAATAGGAATTTTTTGTTACAGATTATTGGATATATGGTCAAGTTTTAAAAATCGTTATCGCTTATAACGTCATTTTTATCTGAGGTGAGGGGAGCTCTTTTCTAACAAAAACCTATTTAACTTCCTTACAAGGCAATTACCCCTCTCGGGTTCTAGAAAAATGTTGCAGCCAACGAACAAGCTACAATTTCTGAAATTGTTTCACAAGTTGTGGACAGTGAGGACAATGACAGTGATCCTGAGACTGTAGCTGTAACCCAAGCAGAAGCCTTCAATGTAATAAATGTCATACGAAATTTTTTTACAAACCATGAGGGAGCTGAGGAACATTTTGAGAAGTTACAAAGTCTAGGAAACATTATTCGAAAAATGAAACCAAAAACGAGACAGGCGTGCATAAATGGTTATTTTATATAAGGTACGATGCAATGTATACATGTGATATATGTGATACACGTTGAGGAAATTTGTAAACAGCTTTATTTTAAATTTAAAAAAAAAAAATTTTTAATCCTACTTTATTTAATTCTTTACTAATTCTGTTAAAATTTATTGACTTAAATATTTAATTTATTACCGATCGTTTTCGTTTGTATTACCGTTTTAAAAATTCGTAATGTGTACTATTTGCGTGCTTAATTGCGAACTGCTAATGAATCGGTTAAAGGGTCACCCCGTTTTTAAGGTCACTTTTGCGATTTCCCTTAGGGTGACCTTATATTGAGGTCTGACTGTATATAAATATGCATGTAGAATATACTTGAAAGAACTGATTTATCTTCGGGTGAAATCTGATCTTTTCATGAAAAACTCCAATAAAACCTGCTTATCCCCACATAAAATTGTTTTTTTTTTTTCATATATAAAAAAAAGAAACCTGGTGAGCTGGGTTTTCTGAAAAACCCAGGTTTTGAAACAACAACAACAAAATTAAACTACTTTCGAAACAAAAATTTCATGTTTAAATCTTATAACATTTAGAGTTGGTAATTTTAAATTTTTTTATGGATATTAAGCACTTTATTTAAGTTTTCCATTATTATTAAAAATGTTTGAATAACTTTGTCAGTCACGAAATTGATTTTAAAAATTTACCAAAAAAAAATAATAAATTTCACTTTTTTCTGAGAAAAGTTACTGCTTAGAGTACCATTTTACTTTGAACTGAGTTTAATCAGCTAACCATAAAAATAATGATTTAATAACATATATTTTTATTATTTAATTACCAATATATTTTTTTAATGTTTTTTAAGTTTGCAACAATTTTAAGTTTTTTTAATTGGTTTTGCTTTATTTGAACTATGTTTTTCAGGTTTTTCATTGTATGTTTGGTCTTGTCCCATCTAGTGCCGCTACTACTTTTATACAAGTGTTCTCCCGTGTCTTTCAAGTTTGGGGAATTTTAAGTCCGGTTAAAGAGGTAAAATGTGTGAAAATCTGTTTATAATTTTAAATCTTTGCCAATAAGTGCTTTGAAAATCATCAATATTATCCCCCGTTCTCCAAAAGCCAGTTCTTGAATTTTTACTAAAAATGTAGGTATCCTTTCTAAGAAAATTATTACGTCTGTATAAAAAATTTTGAAAAAAGTATCTACATAGAAAAGAAATAAGACTAGGTACTTAATTTGCTTATTGATGTAGTCTTATTCTATATATGTTTTTATCGTAAATTTAAAAAAACTGTCTAAATATGAAAGTTTTTGTATTTCTTTTGTCTCTAAACTTGTGTAAAAATTTTATTAAGAAATTATTTTTAAAAATATTTTGTTGACTTAAATTTATTTTGATTCCTGAAATACCAGTTTGAGTAAAATATAAAAATAAAATTTTATGCACACCTGGTATATTAAATAAAATCAATTATATTGAAACATTGTTTAATATACAATGTTCTGTCCTATTTACTTACGAAAATTCCATTTGTCATTAGAATCTACTGTATTAAGAATTTTTTATACAATTAAAAGTTACACATGAACAGAAAAAATTGAATTAAAAGTATTTTTTAATTTGGTTTAATAAATAATGTAAAGTAAAAAACCACAAACCTAAAATCCAGGTTAATCAAAATGCAATTTCTTCTTAAAAAATGTTTTAATGAAAACAAGATTTCATTACTGTAACTATGAAAAAGCAACTGCTTAGACAATAACACAACAAAAAAAGTTTGAATATTTTAATGAACTGAAAGACCATCTAAAATCTGGAGATAAAATAAATTCACACTGCATCTTCGAAAACTGAAGTTCTTAGAATTTATAATTCAAAAATCAGTTCAAAGTGTGACACTAAACAAAAAAGTAAAGAATTGCATTATAATCCGCTATCATTCAAATGTGCAATGTAAGTTGTAAATATGAATCCCAATAAATATCTTGAAATGTATAAGCTTTATAATTTGTTCATCAGGAGATTGACACTTATGATATAATGTTAGAATGACCAAATAACAAGATTTGCTCCTATTTCTACATCAATATAGCATTTGTAAAAAAATTTAAAATACTTTTCTTATAATAAAAAAAAGAGATTGTGTATTAGAATGAATTGTCATTTAACTTTATTAAAAAACACAGCTTTGATTATGCCCCAAAAATTGCTTGTATCGATTATAATTGGAGTAACGGGTGATCTGAATTTTGCTCAAATTAATGAGGTTCTACTGTTTTTACATTTATTTATTTTCAATCAGAATAATTAAAAGTTGTTTTACACTTGCTATATATATATATATAAAATATATATGTGTGTGTGTTACCGTGAATGACCGAAATCAAAAGAATGTAGACTTTCACCGGGGAATGTCAACAATCACATAGTTGCTTTGGTGAATGTCCGTAATATTTGTTATACCCGATTTTATATCAATTTATTTGTTGATATTATTATATTTATTCCATATTTTAATATCTGCCAGTGTTTTCATCATAGAAAAAAAATGGGTGAGAATTTCTCACCCATTCTCAAAAATAGGGTGAGATTTCAAAAAGTTAAGTAAGATTTCTAAAAACTAAAAAAAAACACAAAAACTCTCGAAAAAAAAATCATTTCTTTAATTATAATACATTTTTAACGTCTTCTATTTTTTAAAGCATTGAATATTTTTGGTGCATCATCATAGAAGATTTTGCATTTACAAGGTATTTGTCCATCTTACATTCATTAGCACATAAAAAATTTGAATATCTTACATGGGGAAAGCTTACCTACGGTAAACACGTGGTTGCAGAGAAATGTGTTCTGAAAGGGGTCCTGTGGTTGTGTTCTGTTGTTAGAAAAGGTTCAGAACAATACTGGTAAATAGAGAAGCTAGATAACGGTGCAGATGTTGAAAATAATGAAAGATCCAAGAAGAAAAGTGAAACGGATTTTATTCTAAATGGCATAATTCGAAGTTTTTCCAATATGCGAGAAATTCGCGNAACTGCGTGTTTTTAAAATATTTCTTTATAAATATGTAAAATAAATAATAGGTATCTTTTGAACTAATTCTAGATGATCATATACATTTCAAAATCTAGTCTTGTTCTCTCAACTACATTTTTTGTCTCAAATTTAAAGCCTAGCTTGAGTCTATGACTTTATTTATTTTACTTTATTTATTTATTAATTTGCGAGTATATTTTACATATAATATTATATGGTTTTCGAATTGGGGGGGCGCTAAAAGGGTATTGTGCCCCGGGCGCGAGTTAAGCTCGCTACGCCACTGATGTAGGGCATACGGGACGAATGTATACCGAGCAGTGGCATTTAGCTAGACCTAGTATACATTTTGGACATTCACCAAAGCGGCTATGTGATTGTCAACTTTCAACATTGGAAGTCAACAACCACCAATTTTTGTCATTCACAGTAACGTACAGATGTATATATGAACTTATTGCTTTCCCTTTTCGGAAGTTTTGTTTCATAAATTCTTGCAAATTACATAATCTTTTTTTTACGAGTACTGATCATGTTTTATTGACTTTTAATAGGCACAAGCTTCTCCAGCTTTAGTTCTTACTTTGATTGCCTGGGGAGTTACTGAATCAATAAGATATTCTTATTACTGTTTGAATTTAATAGGATCAGCACCTAAATTTATGACTTGGTGCAGGTATGCACATATATATATATATTCTGTATAATTCTATGTTTGCTTACTGAAATTTACAATATTGATTATTTAAAAACTGTAATAGAAATTTTAGTCTTTTTTATTTTATTTATATCATTTTTTGTATTAATATCTAGAATACATTTACAGTAGAGCGCCGATTATCCGAACTGCTGGGGACCGAACGTGGTTCGGATAATTGGAAAGTTGTTTAAAATCTAGATTAAATTATTATTATTTATGCACTACCTTCCCTTCTCACTTTTTCCAGGCTTAAGACTGGCAGTACTATCTAATATAGCTCTGGCGTGTTTAAAAGTATTTTTTTTAAATATTTTTTTATTGATTTATTTTTTTAAACTTTTTTTTTATTTTGAATTTTTTTATCATATTTCAGCTTTTTATAATTTTTTTGACAAATACTGATTTTACCACATTTTTCTTTATTTTCCATTGCAAAAAAAATCCAGCAAAGACTTTGTTTCAAAGAAGATGCTCTTTTTAGAGCAGCCATATCCCTTATTCTTTTTAAATAAATCAACTGAACTGGATCAACATCATTTTGACGTTCTAGACTGTCAAAATGAAGAAGTTTGAATTCTTGGAAGATAATTTTCAGTTGAGGAGGTCTAAAGGGGTATGTAAGTTTAACTGTATAACAATACATGTATGTATGGCTACTATAAGAAAACTGCTAAAAAAGGTTGTAAATTAAATATGGTCATCAAATGTAGCAGACATTATTTATTCTTCTAAATTTAGAAAATTGTCGATAAGTTAAAAAGCATTCTAAACTTAAAGAAGAAAAAATGAGTTCGGATAATTGGACTTTCAGATAATAAGGGTTCAGATAATCGGCGCTCTACTGTAATTAAATGAAACTACATAATCATTTTACTTTTTAATCAACCCAGTGCTCATAAAAATTTTAATTTAATTGATTTTAGTGTAGTAAGTTCATTTTTTAAAATTGTGTGCTTAAGAAAACTAATCTAATATTATGAATGAAAAGATTTTTTTTTTCTTCCTTAACCTTAATATAAATTGAATTAATAATTATGTGTAATTAGTATTGCAAAGTTTAATAGATTTGCATAACATATTAAGTAAAATGATCAGTTAATATATCAATGTTTTGTTGTTAGTATAAAGACAGTTTCAACATTTTCTTTTAAAATACCAGGCTTACCTCAGCAGTTTCATCAAAATGATAATTGTTACACTTGCCAAAATATTAATCATTTAAACAAGTATTGATTAAAAAATATTTCGTAAAATATATTTTAATTATTAAATAATATTTTTATTTTCTTCACCAGGTACACATTTTTCATTGGATTATATCCAGCTGGAGTTCTTGTAAGTTTAGTCACTAAATCTGATGACAGGAATTTATATGTAGTTGTAAGGACTTGTACATATTTAAAAATAGCCTTTAATATTAGAAATTTAGATAATCAAATTATTCTGAGTTAGCAGAGTTTTACCATAGTTAAACTAATTTTTTAAACAAATAATAATTAGTTTATTTAAAACAAAAGCTTAGGTTTAACAAAGCCTAGTATAGTTGTACCTCAAGTACTGCCATTTTACTAGCTTAATTCTCTCTGTCTCTTTTTTTTTTTTTTTTTCCTTAAACGAGCAATCTCACTAAATAAAGTACAAAAAGGTTTTTAAAAGAAATATGTAATTAGAATTCCTAAAAACTATCGCTAAATGAATCTAAATTAAATGCTTCTTTAATCTGTTAGATTTTTTTATTTTTAGAAGTTTTGTATTGACAGAAATGAAATCGTTAAACATTAATCTAAAACATAATTCTTGCACGATGGAAAATTTTTTCAATGTACTGCATTGTTATCTTTTGGGAAATTTGGCAAATTCAGATTATCCTCTTAGCCTAGGTGATATCTTTATGTTTAATAAATGTATTTTAATTTAGTTTTGTTTGTCTAATCTTATTTCATCAAAACTCTCTCAAACTTTCAGATTTAAAGTAATACAAATTGTTTGTTAATATAAATATAAGCGAATATAATAATATATATATAAGTTACATATTTGTATTTATTAAATCTACGATACAAGGATTCTTTCACTTCCAAGAAAAATTATGGAAATTAAAATATGCTTTAAAATCTTCAGATGATTTTTCTCGTAAAAAGTTATTTTGATTTATTTGTATGAATGTTAGTTTTGAAAGTAAAGCTTGTTTTCTGTCACCATTAATTTCATTTTTATTAGTATCACCTTTTGATCAATTACACAAATCAATTAAAAACTTAGAAAATTTTATAAATATTACTTAAATTTCCCCCCCCCCCAAAAAAAAACTTAAGTGAAAANTTTTTTTTTTTTTTTTTTTTTTTTTTTTTTTTTGAAGTTTATTTTAAAATTGCAAAAAAAATTGCTTTAGAGAAAATATATTTATGTCAAAATCTCCAGTTTACTATGCATATTAATTATTCATCTCTTGTAGTAGTGACAATTGCTCCATAAAAGTAAAACTGTTTTGCATCATTAAACGGAATGTCGCTCAAAATGGCGGTTTTTATTACACAAATTATAAATAAGTTCAGCTATTGCAAACTGATAAACTACTATTTTTAGTCCTTCATTCAAAATGTTTAAAATTGTGTTAAGATGCATTTTTTCGGGTCTTTCTTAATTATTCATTTATCCTTCTAAGTTAATAGTGATCATAGTCTCTGTTTATCCATTATATACTTTATTTCAGGGAGAATCTGGAAATGTATATTATGCTCTCAATACCCTCAGAAATAAGAAGCTATTTTCTCTTGCTCTTCCAAATCGCTTGAATTTTTCATTCAACTTCTATTATGCCACTATTGCTCTTATGCTGACTTATTTTCCTGGTAAGTTTATTTTATACATAGATTTGTTTTTGTAACCTAGAGGTAATGTTGAAATATTAAAATATATTCAAACAGACTCCATAAAAAAAAAATTTGTAATTCAATTCAGCTAGCCTTTTTTTTTTTTTTTTTTACCTCTACTCGATTTTGTTGCTTTTTTAGTCAAGTTGTTATATGATCAGATTTATTTTAGTAATGTAATCTTATTTACATTCACGATGTATAAAATATTAATGTTAATTTTCCCTTCTTTTTTTTTGCTTTGATAACTATAGTATTTTTTGAAAGAGTGTTAATGTGTTTTTGTTTATGTTATTTCATTTTCCAGTTATGGCTCTGGCTATTTAATTTCATTGATGTTTTAAGCTTATTATTTAAAAAAAAATTTTACATTTCACTTTTATTAACTTTATTTTTAAGAAAAGGGCATTTGAAAAGTATTAAATTGCATTAACATTTCCAGATAATTCATTTCTGATTGAGAATTCATATTATTATGTAACAATGACCAGGGGTCTGTTTAGAAGAAATTTGGGTCCGTTAACGGACCCTTCACAAAATATCTTATCATAAAAATGGACCCTTCACAAAATGATTTTGTGAAGACAGAAAACAAGAAAGATGGATGTAACGAATTAGTTTTATCTTCGGCAGACGCTTCTTCCATTATTCGTCCAAAGTGAATATTTGTATGTTGCATCTCTAATTTAGAAGCAGCAATGGCTGTTTATTTTTGAAAATTTAATTTTTTTATTATAATTTTACAGTGCCGAGCATAATCTTGTTACTATTTACAATTTAAAAACGCCTTGTAAAAGTGTTTTGCAATAACAGGACCGTATTTGCACAAATTCATAAAAGCGGACCCGGGTTGAAAGAATGTGAGTAATTTCTTCATAATTTCACGAAAAACGGACCTTTCACAAAATGTCTGGACAGACCCCTGATGACTCTCGTAACACTATCTAGAAGAAAAAGCCTAAAGTTTAATGTCTTAAAAAAATTCTGTATACTTGTTAAAAAATGATTTTTTTTTTAAAGTTTTAAAAATGATTAATTTAAAATACAGCTCCCTGATACTCATTCAGATCACTGAAATTGTAATTACCAAATTTTTCTATTAAAATAGAAAACAAAAAGAACTTATTATAAATTTCAATTTTTCTAATAGAATAACAGAAAATTATCTTAAATTAGAAATTCATTGCTCTTTTTTCTTTTCAGTGTTTCCCAAACTCTACATGCACATGTTTCGCCAAAGAAAGAAGATATTAGGTGGACCAGCTCAAACCATTGCTAAAAAAGTTAATTAACTCATACCTTATACATCAGTTGCCACTATGTATAAGACACACACACACGTTGCCACATATCTTATACATTAGTGCACAATTTCAACACTTCTTCCTATATTTCCAGCCACGTGCAATAAAGAATGTATATATTGTGAGTGTATTCACACTTAAGAAATTCATGTTATATTTAATATATATTTTCATTTTGTTGACTAATAAAATTGATTTTCTAAAATTTTCTCTTGTTAATTTTTGTAAAAAAATGATAAATTGAGTTTTAAAGTTAATAAATTTTGGAAGATATTTTCCACTCAAGATACTGAAACCCGCAGACAATTTTTAAAAAAATAGTGCGTGGAGTCCCTCCGCGCGGAAGAAGTTAAGCTTCGCAACCTGCGACGTTAATAGTAGAAGAATCAGCAGTAGTAGAAGGATCACTAGTTCTATTCAACGACCCTTTTTCCTGCTCCGCTCGCTTCCGTGCTCTGTAATCACGGTAATATTGTGCATTTTTCCCTCATGGACCTCTTGAACCTGTGAAAGTGCTTGTGGTTGCCTCATCATCTCGCCCTGGAAAATGTATTTGTATTAATAATGTATGTGAATGCGTCATAATGCAATTTCAGAAGAGAAAACCTAACAATCAATTTATATTCACAAGAGACGTACCTTGACATAACCCTAAATCCGTCGCATTGTCCGTGGGATTGTTTTCACTCATTTTTTGCAATTGCTATCCACTAAATTTCAAAATAAAAAATACTACCCTATTAAATTATATGTGTATCTAAACAAACTAAAAAAATATTTATAGAAAAACAATATTTTTATGCTAGTGAGAACCAAAACAATATGGAAATGAATGAGGGAAAACTGGATTCCACGTGATTTCCCGACCAATAACGATGTAGCGTTAAACGTTTAACGCAACCTTGTTGGAAGTCGCATAAGAAGTATAACTTCAAAAATAATTTATGGAAAACCAATACTTTTAAGACTTTTATTATTTTAATGCTAGTGAGAACCAAAACAATATGGAAATGAATGAGGGAAAACTGGATCCTACCACGTGATTTCCCAACCAATAACGATGTAGTGTTAAACGTTTAACGCAACCTTGTTAGAAGTCGCATAAGAAGTATAACTTCAAAAATCGCAATCCTTATTTGCTTACTGATAAGAATAGCTGAAAAACTTAGAACAGTAGAACCTCATTAACGTGAACTATTTTTAGATTCCCCGTCAAAATTGTCTATGCATATAATGCATTGAAGTACTTTTAAAGTGAAATATCTTTTAAGGTCAACTTAAATTTCATTACTCTTAAAAAAAGTTTACTTTTAATCTGAACAGAAAATTTATGATTCACTATTCTATTTAAATGATAGTGAGTTTTTTTTAATGTTTTGTTACTGTGTTGATAGCTGTAATATCAGGAATGAAATGAAAGAGTTCTATTACTGTTAAAGGAGGGCATTACAGGACAGGGTGCGTAGCGTTTGTAAAAGGTACTTTTTTGGGGATTTTGTTTTTAAAAGCTTTTTTCAGCTGGCGTTTTTAAAAAGTGCTTTTTTTCCCTCTTCAGTGATATCTGGTGGATCCCATGCATTTCTCGAAAAAGGGGGAGTTTGCTACGTTATCATTCATGCGGACTTCATGTCGTACCCATGTTATGACATGCGCATGTGCACAAACTTGAAACCGAAACCCGAGTGCTCCAATTCGGATAGAGAATATCAGATCCTTATGAAATGTTTTTCTTTTTAATTTAGTTCTTGTTTATTTTATTTTACTTTTAACACTTTTTTTTGACGTAGGGGGTAAGGGTACTTTTGTCCTGAGTTCAGGGTAAAGTTGAATTCACTCGGTGATGTGGGAAAGTACTGATTGTTTCAATTTACGCGCGTTTCTTTTTGGGTTTTTTTTTTTAACGCTAAAACTGTTTATAAAAAGTTTTTGTTTTTCAATAATATTGATTGAATATCAATTTTTTGAGTGCTTGAAAAGTTTTTAAAAAGTGCTTATTTTTGATTCAAAGATTTGACTACGCACCCTGCAGGAAACAACATACGCCTTTTCGTACTCTAATATGAATAGTTTTCTTTCGCCTCCGAATGTAAAGAAGCATGTTTTCCTTAGAAATTACTGCCCATAATGATCCATTGTTCATGGGTAGTCCTTTCTTCCACACTCTCCTATGTTGTTTTAGGAGCTAAATTTTTTGTTTAATTTAGTTAAGGAATACTTAGGTTTACTTTCTTCTAGGTCTGTATTGTACAACTTTCCTCTAAAAAATTTCTGAACTAATAATTTCCTGCCCTCCTTAAAGTTGGCTATAATGAGGTTTGATTGTAATTACCGGTTTGAAATTTGTTAACATTAAAGATATCACAGAACTATAACTTATCAGGTCATTTTCAAAGTTTGCTTTAAAATACGTTTTCTTAGGAAAAAATTGCTCAAGAATAATTAAATTGATAATAAAAAATACATCATGTAAAACTTTTTTTTTAAAAGGACATCAAACACATAAAAAATTGCAACTTTAGTAGGAATAGTTTTAATAGATAAAAATAATTTTGCAAGAAACAAATATAATAAATAATATGTACAAATATGAGTTAAGATGTTGCATATTTTATCAACTAATGATTGATACAATTTAAGTTCATTTAGGTATAATTCTATTAAAAATCAAGTAATATACATATTAAATTACAAAAAGAAACTTATGTAAACATTTCTGATAACTAAAATATGGCAATTGAAGTAACCAATTGCAAAGCTCAAGTCCACTTTTTAAACACACTGTTAAAGAAGCTGTAAATAAAAATATCACTTAAACAATATTGGAAAATTGCTTATTTCGGATAAGATATTTTAATTAGATTTATTTAGAAGATCAATTAGAATGTAAAGGCAAAGTAAATTATTTAGCATTAATTCTTTGATTTGTGTATTTTTTAATGGTTCATTTCATTTGTAGTAAAGACATACTTCAGCAAATGAAATTTTTTTCATTTTAATCGTTGATAAAAACAAAAGTGGATTTTAATCCATTATTAATGCATATACGGGGTGGTTCAAAACTATAAAAACTCAACTCAGTGATGCGACAGCCCATAGAGGGCCAAGGCCTATTGTGCCCATCTCAGTTTTCTTGACCTGGGGTGCAGGAGCAGATGTTCCGGTCAGGTGGTCAGCCGAACCCCCAGTGTTTATTTAGTTCAAAAGCATGCTTGGTACTCATTTATCGACTCACTGAAGGGAAGTGAGGCTGAGTCAACCTTACCCGGTCCGAGGATCGAACCCGGGACCTGTGGCACGGGAGCGTGAAGTGCTACCACTCTGCCACCGGGCGTCAAGACTATAGGTTGAAAATATAAAGTCAGGTAGGGGATCTAAATATGCTTATTTTGTTATGGCATTAAAATGGCATATTGAGCAGGTAAAGAGAGCTGTTGAGTACGATTATACACCAAACCATGCACCACCTTGGATTTTGTATCGCTGTTTCTATCTATTTTGTCTTTTTACTAACTTGTGATTAATGCTGCTTTATGTGCTAGTGCTTTATCACTGCATCAACATTCGCATATAAAATATGCTTATTTAAGTCCTCTCTGCCCACCTTTTCATTTTTGATGTATAGTTTTAAACCACCCTGTGATATATTTACTCATAGTAGTATGATAAATAATTAAAATTTTTGATTATATTGGATTTTGGTTACTGTTTAAATTATTACTAAAATATATCACCAAGGACATTATAATTTTACAGTTATACAAAAATAAAATTTATTTAAATTGTTATGAAAAATTTATGCAGTTTTGTAACTGAAGGCTTTAAATTAATATTGGTAAAATTACAGATTTTTTCTATGTATGTCTTATCAAGAGTTAACACATTTAAAATGTTCTTAAGCATGCTTTTTAGGATAAAAGTTAATGCTTTACGACATATTTAAGTAATTTTGTTAAAATAGTCATTTTTTTCAACATCATCACAAAGAACTTTAGTCTAATTTCCATAATCAATCGCTCATATAAAAAATATAGTTCATGCAATTTTACTTAAGTCATTCTTAAAATAAAAAACTTTTTATCACAAGTTTAATTTAATAATATTTTTCTTATTTACAAATATCAAACCTAAAGTATGTATTATCTTTATTACTCACTATTTTATAATATTCATGAATATTTTTTAAGGCAAGATATAAAGCATTGTACAAAAGCAACCAATGAAAATAATTTTTAAGCATAACAGTGACCTAATTTAAGTTTTCGGATAAATAGTTACGTAAAAGAAATAAAAATTATGCTTTGACTGATGCTTTTGACCTTATTTTAAATTAATAACACTTAAAACAATAATTACTAAAAAAATTCAAAACATTTTTTGTCACTATTTGTATAATTGTTACGTAAATTGAAAGAATTGTGAAAGAAATGAGCTTCTAAGTTTTTACTCTGTTTAATATACCTGTACCTTGCTGCATTAAACAGTATTTCATTTATTTATATGATGGAGGTGTAAATACCTGGAGCCTTCCAACAAGCTTGTTCAAAATGAAGATTTTACCAAATCTGCTCCACTGAGATATAGAAATCGTGTATGTAAAAAAAAAACTTTGAAATTGACGTCAGTTAACATAGGCATTCATGTGAAAGATATTCAGATGGTCGAGGTTCTAGTAAAATAATTTATTTAATGACAATTCAGAAAATTTTAAAACTCATTTCCACACAATTCAGACCACTTATCTATCCAACTTAATTTAATAATAACACTGAATTTAAAAATGGCGTTAGAATGAGTAGTATCTTAGAGTAATAAATAAAAATAAAATATTGGTTAAATTAAAAGAGAGATATTACAATGAAATAATCTTAAATATTTAACAAAGTGAAAATTATTGAGCGACTTGACATAAAATTTTTAAAAATCAATAGATATAGCTATGGCATTTTAAAGTGCCCGTAATGGTGTGATGCAGAAGAATTTGCGTAAGTGTGAAAATATTTCGAACTCAGCTATGCGATTATTTGTAGTTGTTTCTAATGCCACTTACCAATACCAGCAAGCCTGCTTGATGAAACCGAGTGAATTTGAGGCAGAGAGTGCATTTCTTGTTTCTCAGTGGCGCCATCTATGGTCAAGAATCAATTAACTTCTAGCGCATACACTTCACAGCCTGTTTATAGGGCTGGTTACAGGCCCATTCATTCATCCTCAGATCATAATTTTGACCTGAACCAGAGAACAATCAATCTCCTCCTCAGTACCCTCATAGATACAATTTGTTATGAATACACGGAGGACTGTGTGACCTGACAGATTTAATGTGCACCAGTAAAATTTGTGCAAATTTTTATTTTATATTGCTTCCTAAAATAAGTCAAAAGGGTTGAGATCAGAATAGGTTGGCCTTAATGATCAACTAACATACATGACTGCTGCATTTCATTTTCTCAGAAAAATTAACAACAGCATGCTCAAAAGAAAAAAAAATAAATCCCAACAACCCTTGCATTCAACAGCCAAGTTTTAACTGGATCTAACTAATGGTTCAAAAGTTGGCCATGGATTTTTTTTCTTTTTAAATACCTAGCTCAATAGTTTCCACTTCGTTTGGAAATAAAACAGTTTTAAATTTATTATAATGTCAAACAAACACATTTAACAAAATTAAAGTAGATATCTTATGATAATATTAAAGAAAAAACAAAATATTTTAAGCTAATATTATATCAATATTTGTAATAATCATTTTATCTATAATAAAGATTTAGTATGATTAATTTTACATTGACAACAACACACATTTAAAAATAAATTATTCATTTTTAATAAATTAATGATTTTTTTTCTGTTTTGATAAAGCTTAAATGGAATACATTTAAAATTATTTTTATTATGAAATAAATTAAAAGTATCAAATTTTTAGTAATTTGCTACAAAGTTACTTCACTGTACACAATAGGTTTCAAAACTTCACACATTAACATTAAATTAAAATTAATGTATGATAAACTAGGAATTAATATTGATCCATTGCACAAAATGGCACGGTTAATATTCTATACCTATAAGGTTTACTTAACTATATATATAAATAAGTCAAACAGTTGAAATTGTATGAAGAAATACAAGTTTAATTCTAAAAGGTGATGAGCTAAAAATGGAATAAGCTGTAAAATATTTTGTAAAAACAATCCACACAAGAAAATTACACAAAGTAAACATTTTGCAAGAAATACAAGTTCTACTATTAGCAAGTGTTAGTGTTCGCCTGTAACATATTTAAGTATTGTACGTAAACAAACACTTTCTATACAAGCTACAATTCATCTAAAAGTTAAATATATAACTTCTACTATCTGCAGTAAAGACAATAAATGCTACAGAAGATAAACAGTTGATTGATTACGACAATTGGGTGCTGGTACTAGATGTGGTATGATTATTTGTTTGATTGATGACAGTAATTGTTGAAAGATGCATTTTATTACAAGAATTTCAAAATCATTTAATGAGAATTTTTTAAGAATATTTAAGTGTTATGAGGAAAATAATTCAAGCTAACAAGTGTTCTTTTGAACAGTATAAAAATTTTACAAAAATGTTGTTTTTTAATAAAATACATTGAAAAGCCTAAGCCTTTTTTTTAAAAAGCTGGATTAAAAATTTGACAAAGCAAAATTTAAAGAAATAGATAAATAGTTTCTCACAAATTCTTGAATTTTACCAAAAGGGCTTTTAACCAAAACTTTAAGATATCTTTTCTTTTTACTTATCCGTTTACTCGATATCTGATGGAAATCTCTAATCTCTGATCAGATGGAAAAGACTAAAAACTTAAGAAGAAATGACATTTCTTTCCTTGGACAAATTTAATATTAGGAATTGTGAAAGAAATTTCATGCCAGCTGAGTAAGTACATTTTATTTTATTTTTCATTACTATGTTTATTATTTATTTCATTAAATGTAATAAAAATAAAAGTTTACCAACGCCAAATAAAACGGCAGGCACATTTAGTTAAGCTTAAAGATTCTCTCAAAATTTCATCTGGTACTCAACAAATGGCAAATTAACATTCTCACTAAATGGGAAAACTAAAACACCTTTAAGGTCACAGATTTTAACAATAGGACTTTATTTTAAAGGATGTATAAGAAATTTTTTATTTTAAAACAATTTATATTAAGCATTTTAATTATATTAATGAACTTAACCCTTTAAAATAAATTAACATAAAAAAAACATTTGAAACTACCCTATCACATTAAAAAAAATTTAAACTCAAGTTTTTCATTAAACAAAAAACATAGTTATTTTATCAAAAAGAGTTTTTCAAATTTTTCTATAATAAAGCAAAAACTAATTATTTAATGAAATTTTGTATTTACTATTATTAAAATTATAAAGCAGGCTAAATTTAGAATTAGATTAAAGTAATTAACTTTTAATTTCAGGATCATATAAGCTTAAGTTTTGCCAGAACCTTGCTAAAATCTCGCAAAAAAAATGATTTTTAATGTACTTGACTAAAAATTTAATTTGATGTACAAATTAACCTAGTCAGTAAAAACTGTAATATGTTTCATACAATTCATTCATATAAAAATTTGAATGTGGAAAATATCCAGAAATTAATACTTTTCCAGATTAAGTAGAATAATTATAAAAACTCAAAAGTATGTGCATAACAAACTTGAACTTTAGATATTTTTTTCTGTGATTTTTTTATCAGTATTATTATGAGTCTACACATTATGGTCAATATTATTTCTACATATTAAATTCTTTTAGAATTTCATACAGATTCAAATTCACACCAGATTTTCACAACAATTGTATTTCACTCATATAGGATATTCTTTACTTTATTATTTGAGAATTTATTTATCCATTTCAACAAAACATATTTTACAAATCTGAAACTTTAAAAAAGTAAAAAAATCAAATATTTAAGAAGCACTTTGCTTTTTTTAGATGTTCCTAAATTATTTTATTTTTTGAATATTTTTAATCAGTTTTGAGATGTGAAAGTAATGATATTATATTAAGTACAAAACATAAATGAAGGTATGAAATGATTGCAAAATTTCATTCACCCTTATTCAGCATATTAATACACTCAAAGGGTTTAACAATCATAATCAGAAATAATAGTGCAATTTTAACAAAATCACATCTTAATGATATATTATTCAAAATAATACATTTATTTATATTTATGTACACATTAAACAATAATCAAATATAAAAAAACAAGAAAAATTAACGTTGGTATAAACTCATGTAACATAAAGAACACTTCAATAAATAAACATAAATATAAAACTGCAAACTAAAAATACAGTTTGCTACTTCAACAAGTTTCTTAATAGCTTTTTTTTTCAATAAAACTTTTTCCTGAAGTTTTTTTAAGATGAATTTTATCACATAAATTTGAATGATTGCAATACAATCTACGTTGATTTTGGCAAAAACATTCTCAATTTAAAAACATTAAAAATGAAAATATCAGGAAACTAAACAAGTATGTTATAATATTATCCTCCGATGAAAATACGAGATCAGTAATAAGTATTGTTAAATACTTATTTCAAAATAATTTCTGAGATTCTTAACTTATAAACTCAAATACCCAGCTTTTTTTTCTCTTTTTTTTAAATATAAATTTTCTTAACGTGCAGAAACCACGTTTTAGAAAATTATATCTGAAAAAATAACATTAAAGTGTTTTAGTATAAACAAAAAATAAGTTAAACATCAAACATTTTCTACAAATATTTCAGACAGATTACAATTGGCGCAAGGGTTACAGTGGTAACAAACAGCTCTTAACAAGTGCAAACTACCAATGGAAACTTAATGAAAAGGCGCTAGATTAATGAATTTCAAAAAGGGAAAGTTGGCTCTCAATGTTTTTCGCAAAGTAGGTTTTTTTTTTATCCCCTATATCTGAGGAAGATGTAGTGCCAAGAGAGAGCCAACAATTACCAACAATGGTGTTAAGAAAGCGACACAAGGGAAGGTTCTGCTTCAAGAAAATGGTGTTGGCCAGGTGACATTGCCTTCACGGCAGAAAGCTTCAAGTGCCCATCAACATCAACATTCACATTAAACAGGCCAGAAACCGTTAAAAGCCGGAAACCTGTTAGTGGGGTGAGATAAAAATTGCTTGGAAAAAATTTTGCAATAGCCATTAAGTTTCCAAAAGCACGTGCCATCGGCATACTTGTTCACCTCTGTTTTCTCGCATATCATTCCAGTGAGCAAGTTCTTCATCACCACTGCTGTTCAATCCAAGAGAAAACCAGCCAATCATTTCTTTGCGCTTCATGCTTCGCTTGTTATAAACGGATATCATGAGAGTGACATCAGGAAGTTGGAATAAAGCAACCTGTTCCAAGAAAATATAGAATATAATGCAATCTATACTAAAACTGATAATTTACTTGAAAAAAACTGAATTGATTGTTATTTGAGTAATTGGAATTTTAAGTAACTTTAAACAAATTAACATAAAATTAAATCTATAAAAATTTGATGCTGCACTTTTGCACAGATTTTAGAAATCTAACAAAAATATTTATTTTTTTTAGCAGCAATTTCATTTCAGACAGAATTGAGTAAACAGAAAATTTCATTCATTTAAAATGGTAAGGAGCAATTGAAAAAACTACAAGTTAGGCTTTTAAAAAAAATCTGCAAATAATTCTGTTAATGTTTAAAAGGCCATTCAGTCAACATGATGAGAAGCTTTATTGCTAGACTTTGTAGGGGATTAACCAAACCATTTTACAGGCCCCTTTCAATATTCACTTTCTATCAAACATCTGTCACGACAAAAATGAATGAATTGGGCCATTTATTATTAAAACAATTATTTTTGCTATTTCCAAATTTTATTCCTGTAAGTAAACAACCTAAGATTTTTCTTTTTTTTTAACTTTTCATAATTCATCCATGTAACAGAAGTTGTCTGTCCGTAGTAAAAAATTTTACGCTTAAATAAACATCTAAAATTGCTTAAATAAATTGTATCTTTTAATTCTGTAATTTGATTAAAGTTTTTGTTCCCCTTTTTTGCAGATCTCCTAGAGATTATCACTTTCCTTTCTATTCCCTTTGTATGATACAAGATTTTCGAATTTGGAATGCAAAAATTAGTTTTTAAAAAACTTACATTTTTATATCTTATAAAAAAATTTTTTTTGAATATTACATTGTAGATCCTTTAAGAGTTCTAGGAAGGTAGGGCCATGGACATATATCCGCTTACCCAACGCCTCCTTTAACTGAAAGCCTCCACACGGTTTTTTATAGGTAGTCCGATCAGACCACTGTGAAGGATATCCACATTCAGAACGAGTCACTTAATACAAAATCTAGTTAAAATAAGAAAATGGTAGCAAATATATGACTAAAAGTTTGTTTTATTTCTGAATATTATTGGTTTGCCTTATTCACTTGTCAACCACTACAGATTCAATTCTCAAATACATATGATGAATTTTTCTCAATTACTTTTATAAAAGGTTTTGGATCCATGCGCACAACTGGTTCATTTTTTAAATAGTCTGTGCGGAGTACTTATAAAGGACCGTGTGGAGGCTTTTTGATGTAGGAGGTGATGGCTTACCCCACCCTTAATACATCTCTGAAAGAGTGTATTTTTTTACCATGGAATCTTCATTTTGCATTACTTTCTAGGCTTCAGTTTCCCATAGTAAAGGCAAAGAGCAGAGAGGTTGAGTAGAAGTAAAGTATAGTAAAACGAGTACTTTTAGCAGTGAGATCCATTAAGATTGAAGTAAAAGCTAATGAACACTTTAGCTCACACTCTAAACTGTAAATGTATCATTTTGTCACAACACGTATGTTTTGAAATCAGATCAGTCTTCTTTGCAATTTTTCAGATGAAATGAAACTCATCCAGGAGGTTGAAATGGGTAAATATTTTACATGTGGTAAAAAAATGAATTGGTGATTATATTAAAATAGAAGTTTCATTTTTCTTAATGAAATGTAAGATTTTCGTCAAATGAAAAAAGTATTTAGGACTAACCTGCTTCTTATATTTATCAGATGGCACAAAAACTACTGCTGTCTTTTAATTCAAAATCAAGTGAGGCATCAAAAAGGTTAATCTGTCAGTTCTTATCTTTACAAATAAATTTAGCTATTTTATAAATATATTAAAAATTAATTCAGGTATTTACTGCTAGAAAATATTCAAAATATCTTAAAACAATAGAACAGCATTATTGATTGATATATGTTAGAATTAAAATTCCATAATTCCAGGATAGACTTACTTGAAAAATGAAGGTTTCTTTAAAAAGTGGATTTGGTTGACCTCGACGTACAGATGTTTTACTTCGAGCAAGCTCTTGTCCATTTGAAGATACTAAACACAGCTTTACGTAAGTGTCTGTGAAACGGAAAAAAGTTAGCAACAAATTATATATTTCTGACAAGAAGAGAAATTTTTATTACAATTAACTACATAATGTGTTACAATGAAATATAATGGATTTGAATATTATGGATTTTATCTACTGGCAATATTAGCACCTAAATAGTTACAGTCAATTGTAAAGGTCATTAATAAAAAATTTTTTATTTATACAGGAAAAGTTACAATAAAAAGTAACATCAGGATAATGTGGGAAATTAGTTGTCAAATCTGCACTTGAAGTTTTTTGTCAAGGATCTCATTTATACATTGAATGTTTTTTTACGCCTTATCATTGACAGATGAACTTTTCAGATTAGAAACAAATACTTGCGCTACCGTAATGCAAAGGCAATAAATACCTGAAAATTTTCAGCCATCCAAAATGAAAATCAGAGAGATGCTATGCTGGTTTTTCAGAAAAAGTACTTTAAGTGCTTTCAAAAATAGACAAAAAATGCTAATCATACTGAGAGAGTCGCGATCGCTCAAGGGTCCAATGAGGAGTCAGCACCTTCCAATGAGGTGAACCAAGTTCGAATCCCAACAACAGCTGGTCGATACGAATTCCACACCTGGCTTGCCCCGACCACACTGCTGACGGGAAATATTCTCAGTGGTAGACGTATCAGGGTTTAGAGTCCCTTTGCCATCAGGCTAACCGTGGGAGGTTCTCGTGGTCCTCCTCTCAATGTAAAGCAAATGAGGGTTAATTCCACCAAAGGCAAATTTTTCCCAATCCTTGAACCAGGATTCCTTTTGTCTTTTGGATTGGGTTCAAAATTACAAGGCTACATAGTTGTACATTAGTAGTCCTAAACCCAAAACTTGGGTCGGCTGTTAAACGACGGTTATTAAAATCAACAGTGCATGATGCAAAACTGCAAGATATTGGGAAAAGTGATCAGGAGATAGGTAACCATGATGAACCTACCATGAAGGCAGAGTGTATTGTAATATACAATAAAAATTACAATACACTCTGGACACACTTAAGCAATGCCATCATAATTCAGTATCTATCCTTCAGGAAAACTGCAAAATGGTATAAAAAAACTTTACTTTAATATCATAGATAATGCTGTATTTAACACCAATGTTATTTTCAAGAAAAAAAAAGAATCTCTCCTTAATTATTGGCCTAATTCAGTGAATCAAATTATTTCTCAGTTTTCCTCTAAAGGCACCAATGTAAATATCACACCAGGATTAGCAGGATAATTAAATCTTCTCAGATTAACTGAGAGACATTTTTCAAAATATTGTTCAAAAGAAACTACTAAGAAAATTAGATGACTATGCTTCATTAATTCACATTTCAGCAAAACTCCTCCAAAACAGCAAAAAGAGTAATTACAAATGCCAGAATTGTAACGTAGGATTGTGCATGTAAATCCCTGTTTTCTGATTTTTAATTCTAAAAAAAAATTTATGTAACATATTTAGCTGCCAAAAACATATTTAGTTCTCTGTGTAATGACAAAAATCATTAAATGATAAATAAATTCTGAAAAAAAAAATTTTTTTAAAAATTTATTACAAGAAAAATTAAGTAAATAATGTATGTGAATAAAGAATACATAAAGTATATGTCGTTTGTCTACTTTAAAAAACATTATTGAAGAATGTGCTCATATTTCGTTTATTTCATGGATTTAAGATTTAACGGCAAAAAATTTCTGGCCCTAGAGATTCTCGGCCTTAGTAATAAGCGTGCCTTTGCTACTCCCATCACGAAAAGGTTAACTAAACTAAATATCCTATTATAAATTAAATTTTCTTATTTAAAATTTTTGTCAGACATAAATGCTAAAATACAGTTAAATTTTACAAGTGTACAAAATAAAAAATGGAACAACTGAATAACTTTTGTTCTAATGATATAATTTTTACATTACATGCGATTTTAATAATTCAAAGGGATAACTTTAAATAAGCTAATTAGTTAATGCAGAAGACGTTTTAAGTTATGAAATCAGACATAAAAGCATACTTTCTTTTTGCAAGAGTATTTAAGGTGTTCCGTTTATCATTACGCATATTGTGCATTCAGGATCTTTACCTGGAGCTCTGTTCATCGAGACATTTCGAAAATGACTGCCTTTGTTAACTTCAATAGAAAGCCGTCCAGTTGTTCCATTATATGCTAATCCCAAAAGGAGTTCTGGCAGCCCACCATGCTGCATGGATTGAGTAGATCCCGTACTATCACTTCTGGCCAGACTTGTGATATCTGCCCTTGAATCTGAATGCTAAAAATAAAATAAATAATTCTACATCAGCATAATAAGAACATATTGGAGATAAAATGAAGCTATAAAGATAAAACAATAGGTAAATTAGAAAATCATATTTTTATATCATTGAAATGAATAATATTACTTGGTGAAATAGTTGCTGCTAGAGCTCTACATATAAAAAAATGACTCTTCATTCAGCTGTACACACACAAGTCATTTTTTGTAAAAATAAATTTTAATAACAAGATGTTGAATTTTTAGATATATGTCCAAAGAGTGTAGCTCCAAGGCCTAATCCCTAGAGTACACGTCCTAAGGAATCCATGCATTGGCTATGATTTATTACAAAGTATTGCCAAGGTCTTTGTCTAAAGGTTATAATCCCTTTCTTAGCTTCCAAACTTAAAATGCGTTGGTGGGGAGCATTAAAAATGAAACTTTATAAAATTAACCATGAAGTAGTTTTCGAATCCCAAGCAAATATCAATATTATTAAGCATATAAAATATTTTATGCTTAATTTTGCATGACACAAGTCTTTTTTAATACACAAGTTCTTACAATTAGTCAATATTAGTAAGACAGGCAACTTGAGTATGACTACCCGCAATAATTTCTATATCACTCCTGACATATGTCAACCACAGTGCTAAAACAATCACAGAGGTTATTTACAGTTAAGTTTTACTTCTCGAGAGTGGTAAATTACTACACCAGTTAACTGTTTTATAAAACAGTTAACTAATTTCTTAATTTTCTGCTTATTGTGTTAACTTTCATATATCAACAATTAGCATAAAAAGCAGAAAATTAAGAAATTGGTAGAGGTCGAGCATTAAATGAAAATTTAATGCTAACGAGAAAATTAACTTTTTTTTCATTGACACATAAAACTATTTTTAAAAATAAGTAAAATTTCTGAAATGCATAAAACAATATGGAATGAAAAACATATAACAAACAACAAATCATCAAAAACATATATCTTAAAAACAAAATTTTAAATTAAAAAAAATTTACTTTTCAAAAATTATATCAACAATAAAACTGTCCTGTGTACAATTAAATATTATTTTACTAAATCAAATACATGAAAATTTGACAAAAAATTTTTTTACAAAAATGCTTAACTAAAATCAAATTTAAAAAAAATTTATATAAAACAAAAATATGCATATTAAATACATTTGTTCAAATGAATCAAAATATGAATAAGTAAAATGTATACACACTGTTATGTTTGATCTTGGTTCCAAAGTAAGCCATAGAGTTGTTTGCTGATCCATTCGAATTGATGAAAAGTGAACTATGCATTCTCCAATTAAATGTTCCCTTCTCATGCGTTCACATCCATTTAAACGAAAACGCACACCCATGCCATTTAGCTCCTCTAAACAAAAAGAAACAGAATCATCAATTACACATTTGTTTTGTTTTTAAAAAAAAGAAGCTTTACACTCATTTAGAAATATTTATTTGTGTTTATAAAACTATAATCTTAACTTTTATAAACAAAGTAAATAAGCAATTGTTTGTTCTATGTAACTATGAAATATGTGTCATAATATAGATTATCCTTTTCTAGATATAGTAAAATTAACTTTTATTTTATCTTAGAAATCTTATAATAAATTTAAAATTAATTGTTTCACTAGAAATATGAATAAACATTAATAAAACGAAAAGCTTAATTAATCACTGTTATTTGAATTACAATGATAGTATGTAGTAAAACTTCTGATAAAATGCGTAAGTGCCAAATTATTTCATACAGTTTTCACTTTTGAAATGTCTGTTTTAATAATCAGTTATATTCCTCTAATCGATATTTAAATATGAGACAAGAGTATTTAAATCAAAAGAAGTTCATAAAAATCTCATCTGCTATGAAGGCATAATTACAAATATGATATCTATAGGATTTTTCAAAATATATGGAAATCTACTAAACTCAGTGGCGCAACAGCACATAGAGGGCCAAGGCCTACTGTGCCTAGCTCAGCTTTCTTGACCTTTGGGCTCTGGGGTGCAACAGCAGATGTTCCAGTTGAGAGGTTAGCCCAATGCAGAACCCCCACTGTTTAGTCCCCAAGCATGCTTGTTACTCTTTTAATCGACCCACTGAAGGGGTGAAAGGCTGAGTCAACCTTGCCCGACCCAGAGATCGAACCAAGCACCTGTGGCATGACATCGTGCAGCGCTACCACTCAGCCACCGGGCGTCATATGGAAATCAGGCATGTATAATATACACAAATGCATGAATGCTGTTTGCGAAAAATTAATAAACATCGTTGAAATTTTTTATCATTACTAAAAAAGGAACAAAAACACCGAAAAAAGTGGGTCTTTTTCGAATTCCCAAGAAGAAGAAAAAAGAGGGAAAAAAATAGCACTGAATGCATTTTTTGAAAATATTTCACTCTTATATTATATTTCGATTTTTATATATTATATTTTTGATCTGATGTGTGTTCTGATGTGATGTCCCATGCATTTTTGCAATTTCTTTGGCTATGGAACCCTACATAATCAAACTTCATCTGGTGGAACAACGACTTAATAATTAAAGTAAATAATGACAATTGTATACGTTATAACTATTAAGAAAACTCTTTTTTTGACATTTAAAATTTAGAAAGAGGAATAAAAAAATTTCATTATTTTATCATTAATAATCTTAAAAGTAGGATTTAAGTTAGACAGTTGAATTGGCAGTCTTGGAAATGAATCTAGTCTAGCTAAAAATTTCTCTTCATATTGCTGTTCTTAAAAAAAAACTGTAATAAACACTGAAAATGGCTATTTAAGAAATGTATTTCTTTATTACAGAATTCAGTTATTTTATTTTGATTTGAAAAACGCAATGTGAAATACTATCGCAAGTTTTTATAAATGCATGTTCTTTTCATAATTTTTTATAATTGTCGTTGGAAAAATTATATACTTACTTAAAAATTTTCCTTTTTCTCTCTTTGGCATATTGCTTTAAATATAATTTCATGAAAATAATTGGAATAATAACTGAATAATAAATGATTGATTGGATCTAAATATAATTAGTTTTCAAAAATGCTAATAAAAAAAAATGTTGGGTTCCGTTGACATTAACATCATTTGGGAACCGCTGGCTTAGAATACCATATTAAGTAACATTTACACAACATCAAAACTTCTGGTCTAAGAATATACAGAGAAACTTTCAGGAAAGACCACTTGTGTATAGCGACCCTCTCTAATTGCGACCACTTTTGAAAGGCATGAAATTTTTTCCATAGACTTTGTGTTGAAGAAAACGTTTAGAAGAGACCCGCAAAACCTCCCCTAGCTACTGGGTAAACTTCTGCCCCAAATGTGGAAAATGTCAAATAAGGAAACACGAAAAAATATCAAAACAAAAAATTGTAACAAAACAATGAATTTAAATTATTTGTGAGTGGCTCTTATTTAGAGAGTTCTTTCTGATGATCTCTGAAATAGATCAACAACCTCATTTTGCAGTCAGTGTACTAAAGGTGATGTTATCAATGAATTAGTTTTAAAGTTGAAAGTTAAATTATAAAAATAAAAGGTATTTATAAAAAAAACTATTCATCATAAAACAAATAAAACTCTTCTCATTTTTTAAAGCTAACTAACTTTCATGATATAAAATTAAAAGCAAACTTAAACAAAAAACATAATTTTTTATTTATTTAAAATAGCTCTATCATTCATAATTGGTAAATTTGTTTTTACACATAATTATATCAGTATCATTTTTATTGACTCTAAATTTTATTCATCAATCCGGTTTTTACGATGCGAACACAAGTAGCATTTCCCTACTAAGAAAATGACACTGAGTAAAATTAAAATTGCTTGTGAAAATTCATATACTTTCAAAAATATTTTGAAGTCAATGAAGTCACTTAAGAATGACCAACCTCCATTAACGACCATTTTACTGCGGAACAGAGAGTGGTCACTCCCGAGAGGTTTTACTGCATTATGGTTGGTACTGTGTGCAATAACTTTTTAAATCAACACATTAAATAATAGAATTTCAAGGTCAAACAATGTTTTAGAGACATTTTCTCATTGTATATATTTCAATGATGATTTTATTTTCAAATTCACTGAATTCTACTGAAGGTGTTTTTCTACTGAGTTCCCCAAAAATCATGAAAAGGCAAAATGACTAATAACAACTAATAAAAAAAAATTTAATTTAAGACATAAAATAATGATATCACAAAAAAAAATAAACTAGTATCCATAAATTTATTATTTTTGAAGAGACGCTAAACTTACCTGGGGATATTCGATTAAAGATAAAACTCTCATTGAATTGTGGCTTGCAACCAGTTCTGATTTTAGTTTTGAACTTTTGCCTTTTGTGGGGTAACAAAAGAAGTCTAACCTAATAAATAGAATACTAATTTTGTAAATGTGAAGAAACATTTAATGAAAAAAAATGTATTAATTAAACTTCATATTCCATTTAAAAGTTTTATATAAAAAATATTTTATATTTTAAATATTTTATATAATTGTAAAAGGAATATACTTCATAATCCTTTTACAATTTCAAGTTACAGAATGAAAAAAAAATTATTCATACATAAAGCAACTAATAATAATCAACATTATATTATATTGTAATTAAAGTATAAATACAGCAAAAAGTGACACAGACAGCAAAAAAAATAATAATAAATAAATAAAACATAAAAAATATGGTTATAAAATTAGAAACTCAAATGCGAAGACAAGGGTGAAAAAAGAATTATCCAGGTTCACAATGATTCATGCTAATTATGTTAAACAGCTTTGAAACAAAGATTTGTTAAACACATCTTTTAACCCTTCATATTGTGACTACTATGTGGAGATACAATCATAAAAAGAAAATTACAGACACAGAACAGTGTCAGTACAAATTGATATAATTTTTTAAAAATAAAATAAAGTTTTTAATAAATTCTAATTGAAACTAAAGCTTAAACCCATTATAAAAAACCGGAGTATTTTCGAAGAAAAAAATTTACAACAGAAAAAAAAAACTATCTGCTATAAACTCACCAGAAACAATAAAATGACAAAAACTTTGCAATATTCATGCATGTTTTAATATGTTACTTTACAACACTACTGTCAAACATAACTTTAAAAAAATACATCAAATATGATGTGTGGCTAACGTTCTATTAAAATTAAAAGCAAATTACATACTAAGTCTAAATCAAATTTTGTTAGTACCACAAAACTTTGCAATTTTTTAATATGTTATAAAGCATATTTTAACACGCTGCTTTTCAAAGTTATACAAATACATAAGAATAGACAAATACAAACAATAGACGAAACAATTTGCCTTGTTTTTATCCTTTATGTTTTATCCTTTTGTTTTTATCCTTATTTGCTTTATGTGTTTTATATTTTATATTATGTATTGTATTCTCTTGCTGGACTTTGGCAAAACCTTTGGGGTACAGAGAGAGCGATTTTAGACTTTTGTTGTGCTCTCTCGGTGGAAAAGGTTTTGCTTTTATGACTTCCGGAGCTGGTACCCCCTGAAGACGTCAGCTTCGGTTGTCAAACTTATCCATTTATTTATTTTTTTTTTCATATTTCATTGTTTCTTTTGCTTCAATTCCTTTCGGATTCTCTGCTGCTTAGCGCGTTTTTCCATTGGAAGTATTATTTTTAATTGCTTTTAATTTTTTGAATTTTTTTCTTAATATTGATAAAGTGAACACCTCTTTGTGACAGAGAAATATATTTGAAGCATTTGCTAAAGATAGATGTCCACTTAGAAGAAAGACATGCAAATTCAGAAATTAAGTTGTAAACTACTTTAACTAACTTAGTATGATAGTTAAATAAACACAAAATTAGAAATAGGGATTTGTATGGACATTTATTTAAAATTAATAAAATCATAATGAATAAAATTCTAAGATAACTATAAAAATACAATATAGGCATTGCTCTCATATTAAATTTACAATCAGCAAAGGAGTAAATGCAATATATTTTAATTATTTGGTTTTGTAAGCTTAGCATTTCATAATAGACCACAATTACAAATAGAAATTAAATATTTTCTTACAAGTAACACATTAATTAATTTAAGATTTTCAATAATTTAAATATTATTGACTAATTTCCAAGTAAATAAAAGCACGTATAAAAACTAGGACAATTGTTTAAACAAAAATTGATAAATAAATATTTTGAAGGTAGTTTATACTTGTTTTAGAAAAATCTTTCTGTTTTATTTATAATTCAACAAAACACTCACTTAGAAACAATTATTACATTTTCAGAATAAGTTGATTTAAATTTATATTGAAAAGATGCATTTTTCAATAAATTTGTCTACAGGTAACTTTAAACTAAATTTTTCCAAGAAAGCACACTTCATACTAATTAATTTAATTTCCAACCAGTCTCGTTAAAATTCTGTCACCATTGGGCTAACCATGGGAGATTTTCATAGTTTGTTCTATATGTAATGCAAATACACATAATAGCACAACCACTATTGCCCCTTCTTTCCTTTAGATTTTTTTTAAAATTGAGTTTAAAAAGCAAAAAATAAAAATATACCATTATTTATATAGAATAATATCTTGTAAAATATTTGACGAATAGAAAATTAAACAATTTTTCATATTTTTTTAATATTAATTTTGCATAAATGTAATGGTACCCAGGTGGATACCCTGAACCGGCTGAGTATTAAAACCAAATTTTTCTGGGTACCTGGAATTAGCCTGGAAATCAATAAAATTTTGACTGGGATACCAGAATTAGCCAAGCAATTTTCATCTGATACTCAGAACCAGTCAGGAATCTTTATTGGTTACCAGGACCTCTGTACTGAAAGTACAGATGTTAGTACATTTGTATTTTCTACAATATATATTTATGTTTAACAAACTTTTTATTTAAAGCTGTGCAACTCACAGTATTTAATGTTTCAATTATTAAATTCAAATAGAATAACTAGCCAAATTTACCAAAATTAATATTTAACTTCATTCTTCAGATAAAAATTTAACGTTTTTGCAAGGTATATTTATAGATTACATCTAGCATATTTTCAATCACATTAATCAAGAAACTTCGTAGTCTCTGATCATGACAAATTTCTTGTTTTAATTATATTTTAAAAAGATTTGAGGAAAAACAAACAAAAATAGAAATATTAACTTTAAAAAAACTTACACATCTATTGCTTACATGGCAAGTATTTTATTAAAAACAAGTACACCACTTATACTCTTTCAAAAAAAAGGCATTAAAGATACTCAATAACTCCGTGGCAGAATCGTGGCAACACGGCAAAATTTTTGCAAAACGTTACCAAATTCTTGCAGAAAGATTTTTTCTTTGGGAAGTAAAAAATTTAGCTTTTCTTTTCTGCAGAAGTTTTCAAATTACTTTATCTTTATTCAAAAGATGCCTTTTCTGTGCATAAGAGTGGTAAAAAAATGATTATGATTTTTCTATTCCCATTTAAGAATAATGAAAAAGAGAGAATAATGAAGTAAAAAATTTGGGTTTTTTTCTGTAAAAATTGTTTTATGTTTTTTCATGCAGTTATTACTACTGATTTACACATAGCTTTTAAAATCTAATATTTTTAATACAATATTATTTATTACAAAAACTGAATCTCTAAATGAAAACCCACATTTAGTAACCCCTTTTAAAGAGTTCAATTCGCGTGATTTCGGAGTTGATCTTTTTCCCCCCCAGTAGTTACTGCTACAGATTTCATGATTTTTTATTTTTTTAATGTGATGATGAATTACAAAATGCAAAAAAGGAAATAATTAGCGTGTTATCTTCCTACAAAATGCGAAAATATTTCCCATAATATTAGAATAAAAAAAACATATTGCATATTCAATTAAAAAAATTATTTTTTTTTATCCAATTTATTTATTTATTTATTTTTTGAAGTTAACGCTTCTATTGCTTTAAATTAGTAACATGTATATTTGTGATTTTTAAGTATCTTGCAGAAAGATATTAGTATTAGAGAGGTATGTCGCGGAAAACCTGAAAAAATTCTGACACAAGGCTCAATAATATTCTTGCTAAAAAAAAATAATTTGAAATTGAACTAACTTGAACATGATTTGAGCCTCCTCTCTCTCTATCAGGTAAATCTTGAGCTTGAAGAACATGAACTGTCATTTTCTTCAACGGAGAATCATAAGCGAACCCAACTTCAAGAGAGCCACAACGAACAGCACTACTGGTCTCTTGTTCTTCAATATTGCATTGAAGATCATTCACATCAAAGATCTGATCCTAATCAATACAATAATAAAAGTTTTTTTCTCTTTATTTTAAAAAGAAAACTATTACCAAGTATTGCATAATCGGGACAATTGTTTTTGTATAATTCAAGTTAAAAAATCAACTTCTAAGATTAAAGCTTTAGAACCAGGGTTGGGGTTTTGAACGTCCTAAACTGGTTTTGGACAGGACACGTGGGTTTTACTGTCTTAAACTGGGTAAAACTGTCCTAAACTGGGTCAAACTGTCCTAAACTGGGTAAAACTGACCTAAACTGCCTTAAAGCGTCCAAAACCTTGAACTTTGGTAAAAGGTAAAAATTCTATAGGAGTAACCATTTTACACATAATAATTACATGCATCAATAAATATTTAATATTTTTTGTACAATTTACTATAACCTATTAAAAGAAAATAATATAATATAATAGGAAAAGGTTTATAATTTTTGAAGCTCCACAATTCATTGAACAACAAAAGTGAATACCTAATCCTTTAAATATAAATATGCTTTTAATACTGATAAATAATATTTTTGCATAAGGATAAATATGGCAATATTAAAAAATAATAAATTTTTTTAAAAAAAATACTAAATTTGTTTAAAAATTAATTTTTTATTTTTCACAAAATTTTTTTTTTAAAAAATGTTATAATTTCTGCATCACAGATTGATAAAAAAAAGACATCTTTTTTAAAAAAAATTGTTTTTAAATATAAATATATTAGTTTAAATTGAAAATACAAAATAACTGAAAAATGTATTAACAGTTTTGAAGGGCATAACATCAGTTTCAGTTACTGACACTGGTGATGTATCACCACTATGCTAAAAGAATTGAACATGAATGAAATAAAAGTATTCTTGAATAGTACTATAGATAAATAAACCTGTTTATGACGAACCAAGCACTTAGTCCCTAATATTTTAACCTGTATGGCAAGGCCAAACTTCAGTTATGTACTATTGAATGAGAGGACCAATTGAACTTGATTACTGATTAATCTTCCTTTGTTTAAATTGAAGAGTCAAACAATATTAATAAAACATTATACTTTTAAAAACAAATATTCTCTAGTATATTTAATTATCAATATGTTATTAGTTCTATGTTTATTTTACCTCTTAGATATTGTTCAGATAAAATTGTGACATAATTTGAGTAAAAGGGTTTTGGACAGTTTAAGACAGTTTTGGACAAAGGGGTTTTGGACAGGACGGTTTAAACCAGGGTTTAAACCGTGGATTCTGTCCTAAACCTTGCCAACCCAGTTTAGAACCAACTTAATTTAAATCAGTAATTGTAATAAAGTAAAGTATAGGTTTATAAATATATTAAAATATTTCTCTAAAAAACTGGTAATCATTAAAAAAAATATTAGCTAGTGATTAAATTCATACAAGGTTTCATAAAGAATCTTGATATGGAACTGAAAAGTTTCATATCAAGATACATGGAGACATCTGTATTAAAGTAATGTTCCCTAAATATATAAATAAATATACAATCAAGCTAATTGAATAAGCAAACCCAATTAAACAGTTTGCTAAAAAAAAAATTAACATTTTATGATTGGGTAATAAAGTTTGGGAATAAAATTTTATTTAGAAATAACTGTAGTCATAGTGATTATATAACAACAATAAGACATTCATTGCAGTTTAAGTTCGTATAACTTTTAAAAAAATGGTCCCAATCAGACATAAACATTTTACAGTTTGAATAGTCTTAAAAACCCTAAAGAGTTTTAGAAGGAATTTCCAGAAATAATGAGGAAAGAATGCTTCCTGTGGTTTTATAAAGGGTTAAATAAGGAACCTATAAATATAAAAAAATAAATAAAGTAAAAACTTTATTTAACATCAACAGATTGAGAAACTCAACTAATTCTTCACATTTCTCTGGATTTTGACGGTCAAATTTAAAGTTAATTTCACATTGTTCGTTTCTGTTAGTTATATACAGAAGTCAATATTAGTTGTAGGCAGATTAACATATTACTGAATAGCAAGACTTCAATTATACATAAAAAAAATTAACAAAGAAATAATAAAAGAACAAAAACAAGCATATGTATAAAAAAACAAATCACTTTTGCCAATTTCATTTCATGCATTAAAATTACTGAGCAAATACTGAGAAATTATGAATATGCCTTTTTTTCAAAATAAAATTTTAAACATAAAATTATTTGAGTATACATAAAAACGAGCACATTTACGATAGTTACCATAATGGGAGTAATTTTTATAAACACTAAAAGGCACTAACGAAGCAAAGAAACTTCTGAACTAAGATAATTTTGCAAATTACCAACACATTCATCTACTCAATGAAATTATTCATTTCAGCTAATCACATTATTACTTCGATAACAACAAAAATAAATAACTACAAACAAAAAAACTAACCCTACTCACTTTGACACTAACACAAAACATTAAAATATAATTTCTTACTTCCATGACAGAATCTCCACAAGCGGAAAATGTATCATTTGAAGCAGCAGGAGAATGATCAGCTGTTTGGAAGGCACTATTCTCATACTGCTGAGTTGTACGGCTATCTAAGAGTGGCTGTATTACAGCCTGACCATCATCTGGTGTTTCTTCACTTTCGCTGGCCTCACTGGAGAAGGAAACAGTACTTCCTGATTTCCCCACTCCTCCCTTCTCAAGCATAGATATTGGATCATGACTTCCTCTTTTATTTGAATCAGACACTTTCACTATCAAAATAAGATGTGAGTTATTAATAAGTAATGTATAAGACTGTTTTAAAGCAATAGATTCCATAGCTTGCCAATTTTGAAACATTTAAATTATTTTATCAGCACAAATATTAAAAAAAAGTGTCACTTATTATTTGCACAATAAATTGTGCTACTTTTCAATAAAATAAGGAAGATAATTTCATGTTTACCTAATAACAGTTTGTACAGCTGTTCAAAACTAGTTCTTAAATTTTTCCATTCATGTAAAACATAAAAAGTTATCCTGCATTAAGTTTGTATTCACTAGAAAATTCATGGTGAATACTAGAAAGTGTACAAAGTTATTTTTATGATATGACTTATTTTATTAAAAAATAGTTATTTACAGTGAGCAGTTTTTTTATGTAAGTAACCCTAAACAAATTACCACTTAAAAAATTATTTTCTAACTTCATATTTTAAAAATTTTTTGTTTGTTTAAAAATAATAATTATAAAATAAGACAATTATGTTTAGTTAATTTTCAACATTTTCAAAAGTTATAATCTATTCCAGTACAATAATATAAAATACAAAAATTGTCTTGGTGTGTCATCATAATAGTTGGCCAGACAGCCCAATGTGAGCCAATGCCTTCCTATGAAGGCTTCTCCATGACGACTTCCGGTTTATCTTTGATCGCCAATTCTTTTCATTAATTGCGAGAAAATCAGACTCCACTGCGTCAGCCCACCTCAACCGTTCATGTAAAACATAAAAAGTTATCCTGCATTAAGTTTGTATTCACTAGAAAATTCATGGTGAATACTAGAAAGTGTACAAAGTTATTTTTATGATATGACTTATTTTATAAAAAAAATAGTTATTTATAGTGAGCAGTTTTTTTATGTAAGTAACCCTAAACAAATTACCACTTAAAAAATTATTTTCTAACTTCATATTTTAAAAATTTTTTGTTTGTTTAAAAATAATAATTATAAAATAAGACAATTATGTTTAGTTAATTTTCAACATTTTCAAAAGTTATAATCTATTCCAGTACAATAATATAAAATACAAAAATTGTCTTGGTGTGTCATCATAATAGTTGGCCAGACAGCCCAATGTGAGCCAATGCCTTCCTATGAAGGCTTCTCCATGACGACTTCCGGTTTATCTTTGATCTCCAATTCTTTTCATTAATTGCGAGAAAATCAGACTCCACTGCGTCAGCCCACCTCAACCGCGGCCTTCCCCGTTTTCTTTTTCCAGTGAGTCTAAAAAGCAGTATCTTTTTCATTGTGTTGTCGTCACTCATTCGAATCACGTGGGCGATCTAATTCATTCTATTTATTTTTATGTATTTAATAATATCAGGTTGTTTATAAATCTTGTACAGTTCTTGTAAAGTTAAATCTCCTTCTCCAGTTATTGTTTTCACTTACACCACCAAGTATACTTCACAAAATTTTTCTCTCAAATATTGTGACATTGTCTTGGTGTGTACTTTCTTATTAAAAAATGATAATACTAAAGAAGAAAGGGAAAAAAGGAGGGTTTTTTTTAACAAATAATTCTTTTTAAAAAATGTCACAGTTTTTTAGTTCTACTCTAAATTTTCATATTAAATTTCTATTTTTGAATAAAATGTGGAATACTCAGATATCTTTAGAGTTAGAGATTGTTTTACTGTAATGGTTTGCAAGCTGTGCAAAGTTTAGAAGCTATTTTTAAAATGTATCTTCTAAATTATATGAAGGCTGAGATGTTCTTAAATTTTATAAATAGGTAACAACAGTCTTAACCCTTCAATTCTTTGAACATAATATTATTTCTAGCTCAATAATATAATGACAAAAATGTAGTTAATTTCGTTTCATTTTCATTTTATCACCTTCATTGTTTTTATCACATTCATCGTCATTATCATATTTACTAGAAATTTCATGTAGAATACAAGAAAGTGTATAAAATTATCTTTATGATATGACTTATTTTATTAAAAAATAGTAATTTATAGTGAGCAGTTTTTTTATGTAAATAATCCCAAATGAGTTTTTACTTAAATTATTTTATAACTTTATGTTTTAAAAATGCATTGTTTGTTTAAAAAAAAATAATAAAATAAAACAATTACGTTAAAATTAATTTTCAACATTTGTAAAAGTTATCTATTCCAATATAATAATATAAAATTCAAAAATTTTCTTGATGTGTCCTATCTAATGAAAAAATGATAATACTAATGTGGTAATGATAATACTAATACTAACGTACAGAGGGGGGAAAAGGGGCTTATGCCAGAATATTTCTTTCTATTGACATTCTAGCTGAAATAAATAAAATCATAAATATGACTTCAGGTATAAATATCATTATTTATACGAGTAATATATCATAATATTGTGCTATCACTTAATTCAATTGGGGAAAAAATAATCTACTTAAATGAATGCTAAGCACAAATAAGTTAAAAACAAAAGAATACAGTTTTCACAAACAATGAAAGAATTCAAGTACGCTTATAACACAGTTTTCTTCTTCTTAAATTACCAGATCAAGATATTAATATGTACTACAATGGTCTCAGTTACATAGTTAATGAAAAATAATGTCTTATCTTTAAAAGGAATTTTAATAACAATTTTAAAAAAATAGGCTACAATAAATATACAAAAAATGAAAATAAAACAATCTTGCTAACTTAAAAATGGTAGATAATACTTACAGTGACTGGAAGATCCATTGTACGGTGTTAAAGAAGAAGGAAATAAGCTGCGGTGTGTCTCATGATTTTCTATTATATTCCCTCCATCCGCATCACAGTTGTCACCACTACTTATTTTACGCAAGCCATTATAAAGACTGGAAGACTGTTGAAATCGCTGCAAAACTTCGTCTTCACTGTCTGTGGAAGAATCCACTTCCTCATATTGAAAAGCATTACCTAAAATAATATGTAAAATCAAATGAATATCATTCAATGTATGCCGCAAAGTAATATATAAACCACAGCAAAGGTGCATAGCCAAACCTTTCAACAAAAAATGTACATCTTTTAAGTACTTTTTAACAGGGTGCATAGCCAAATCTTTCAGCCAAAAATAAGCACCTTTTAAGTACTTTGTAAGCACTTAAAAAATATTTTTAAGCCCTATATACATTAACAAAGGGCAAAATAATTTTCAAAGAGATATTTTTCAGTTCGATGTCAGAGGGTGGAAAATGAAGCCTGAAATTGAGAATATCTTGCAAAATGCAGAAGAGTTGCACATGAGAGTGCTAGAATCTCACCGAACCCAGCTCAGTAGACGCACATACAGACTCCCAAGTATTTCATCAAACATGTAAAATGATTGGCGTTTTTATACGCTACGGGGGTCAATGTTACGGCGAAGTTGATTGTGGTTGAATGAATTGTGAATAACGTTGAATAGATGAAAAGCAAGCTTTTGCATAATACGTGGCAAAAATCAACATGGTAAAGAAAGAAAAATCTCATTTTCGAAAAGGGAAAATTAAGCACTTTTTAAAAACGCCCCATGAAAAAAAGTACCTTTAAAGGCTTTCAAAAAACGAAAATAAAGAATAAGCACCTTTTAAAAATGCTATGCACCATGCTTAAGCACTCAAAAAAAATTGTAAGGACTACATACTTAAAAAAGTGCAAAATAATTTTCAAAGACTTTACATGATAATGATAAAATGACTAGTTTCTGACAAAGAACTCTTTTCATGATTATATTAGCCTTTATAAAAAGAATCAAGAGACTTTTCGGTTCGATAACAGAGGGTTGAAAATGAAGACTGTAATTGAGAATATCTTGCAAAATGCAGCAGAGTTACACATGTGAGTGCAAAAATCTCACCGAACCCAGCTAAGAAGACGCACACACGTATTCGCAAGTCCTTCATCGAATGCCAAAATGGATTGTGGTTGAATGAATTGTGAAAAGGCTGAATAGAACAATGTAAAACTCACACTTTTTGCATAATTCGTGGCGAAAATCAGCATGGCAAAGAAAAAATACCTTATTTTGGAAAAGAAAAAATTAAGCACTTTTTAAAAACACCTAATGAAAAAAATGAAAATTGAAAATAAGCACCTTTAAGCAATTTTTAAAAACGATACCTATTCCGGTGACGGAACTACATTAAACTGCATTATTGAGTAAAAAAACATTTTACGAAAAATGTATGATTTTTTTTTATTATTATTATTTTACGTTTCTATTAATTGTAGTTTCATTTATTGTAGCATAAAAGAAAGTAATTCACAATCATCAAAATAACGCATAAATGATGCACTGTTTTAGTAAGATTTTAATTAACAAATAATTTTATCATTATTTTTCACAAAATAAATTAAAAAATACAACAGAACAAGCATCAAAACTTTCAATTTTAATACAAATATAAAAACACAAACTGCAAACAGATTATGTTGCTAAATTTTGAAATGCTCCAAAGCAGTTAAATATGAATCAGGAAAAACTGAAAAAATAAAAAAGAGAAATTAATCTATTCAATTTAGTTATTTAATTGCCACATTACTATTATTGCAAAATTATGTATCAAATGAAAATTATGCCGTCCAATTTTTAATAAAAGCAATTTGGAAAGTAAATTATTAATGGTTTTGAAGGATTAAAAATGGTACGTAACACAGGGATATTTATTTAGAGCACTTTAAACACCGTGTAAAGTAAAATAAGGCTATCTATGTATTTTATAAGCACAAGCAGTAAGGAATATGTAAGCATAAGGCAGTTTGCATTCCCAACTGCCCGATGAGGAGAGGCACATTCTTACCAATGTAGCATTATTTTTCTGAGCATGATATTTTTTAAAAGTTTCAATAAATATTCAAACCAATGGTTTAAATGCAAAATTTAAATTTTAATGAAAAAGAGTTGGTCTGTTGTATAGTACTTGCTACATGCCTCATATCAACAACAAAGCAAATAAGAAAAAATTTCTTTTTTTTTTTCATTCCAAGTTTAGTTTTTCCTGAACTAAATTGAACATTGAAACATAACTCCTTAATTGATTTTAGTAAACAGCTGCAATGTTTGAGCTAAATTATAATTCGTTCTATTTTCCAACAGAGATTATACCTGAAACAAATATTTATTATAATACTATAACTATTCATCCTTTTCATAAAAATTTAATAAATAATTCTAAATATCAACTAGCATAGAGATAAGGTTGCAAAATATTTTATGCTCAATGAAAGTAATAATTTCTCTATTAAATGCTAAAGTTGTATCAAATATGTTTAAAATTATCAAACACATAATTATAAAAATTATCAAACACATTTAATGAAATGAAATTGGCAAAAACACAGAACCAAAAACGAATAAACTATAAGACATACATATTTTTTAATCATAAGCAATGTTCTTTAAAAGTAATTTTAACCCATTACAAAAACTCACCTTAACCTGAGTTGCTAAAACCTTAATACCCTCAACAGATTCTGAAATTATAATTAAAAAGGAAAATAAAATAACCAAAAATAAATATAACACATGCAAAAGTAGAAAACATAACATAAAAAAATAACAAAACAAAAATAAAAAGTACAAACAAAAAAATAAAGAATACTTTAACCCACTGGTGGTTTAGCAAACAGGCAAAATTGGGAGAATGTTCCCGTATAGTATTTCTATATCTATTAACATGGAAAAACCGGTTTTGCTTTGCAGAAAAGACTGCAGATTAAGCATGTAAATGCATGTAGATGATGCATGTAGAACCAGCAGTGGGTTAAGGTGATATAAGAGATAAATAAAATTAATTTTTTATTTGTTTTAATGTACTTCCCTTATAATTTTGCATCATTAAAGTACCTAGGGATAAAAATTGATAATCCTTTAAAAATTTCAACATAATTTAGCAATTTATATATGTACACTAAAATTATTCAATATTTATTTCTTTGAATGTTCACATTCTTATTTATTAATGAATCATCTAGTTATTTGGTACTAAAAAATAATAGGAGTATAGGAGAAAAAAAAAATTTTTTTAAATTTTAAAATACTTCAAAGTAAAGCAAATTCAAAATCAAAAGTTTGTGATGTCGACTATATTGCTGTCACCAGTTTTAAGAACTTGATTCTAACCTCATAAAAAATGCCAAAATATATATTTACTGACACAGATATATTGTATCACAAAATTTTAGCAGTATCACTCAGATTCACTTTATGTTTGGAAAAATAAAATTAAAACTAGAGAAAATGTTTTTAAAAAAAATAATAGTAATAATTTTAACAATTTTCTAAAGTTTACACGTCATTATGACACCAACCTTTAACAGATGCTTCAGCTTTGCCACAAATCCATACCCCATTTATTTATACCATGCAATTTTTCATCGAAAAACTTTTTTTTTTTTTGTAATGTCAAATATTAGATTTTGTGAGCAAAAACATATGATAGAATGAGAATAGAAACATGGAAAAGTTTTACTAAAAAGTAGAATTTTATAAAATAATTGTGATAGATGTTAGAACCATTTAACTGTAATCTCAATAACTGATTACTGTTACTGACAATTCTAAGACTGGTTATTTTCCAGGTATAGGCATATAAGAAGTTTCCAAGTTTTTTGTAAAAAATTTTCAACTTTCCCTGACTGTTCCCTGTTTTTTAGTGTTAAAATAAAATTCCCGGACAATTTTCCCTCACACATGGGAACCTTGTTTAATAAATAATTATAAACTTTAAAATTAGTTAACAAATTTAAAATCAAATTATAAAATAATAAAAGAAATAAAACAGTAGGCATAACAAATCTGTTAGCATAAAATACTTTTATATTAGCAAATTAAATATAAAATACTTTTCATCATACAGTTGAACTTTTAAAAAATAAGACTATAATAGAACAAAATTTCAAAAACTTTATAAATATAAATAATTCATGAAACAAAAACCAGCAAAATTTCATCTGCGTTCTTAATATGGTCCATAATTTTTTATCAATTAACCAATGCTCATTCATTTAGGAAATTACAATGGTATGTTTTTATAAAGGTGGTTTTGTTGAATACTTTCAAACTATATTTTTAAAAATTGGTAGAAATATTATCAATGTTAATAATAAACAGAATTAGTTTCGCTAATGTAATCAAAATTACACTTAGTAACATGAAATTCATTTTTATTTAATTTCTTTTTCTATTATTTTTTTTAATTTACTTTTACCTTTCAAATTTGATTTTTACCTCATATTTTGAACCAATCAATTTTATCGTGTAGTAGTAATTAACCAGCAAATTCAGATGCATTATCTATCTAAAAGTTTTTGAAAAACCAAACATAATCACTAGAAATTTTTTCTATTTCGTAGAGTTACAAAAAAGTAACAAATCTTTTTTTTAAGGAAAAATAAATTATCATCAGCGTGAGTAGCCAAATCTTTCAACAAAAAATAAGCACCTTCTAAGTGCTCAAAAAACATTTTTAAGCACATTATACATTTACAAAATGCAAAATAATTTTCAAAGACTTCACACAATCATGATAAAATAACTAGTTTCTGACAAAGAACTCTTTTCTTGATTGTATTAGCCATTATAAAACGATCAAGAAATTTTTCAGTTTGATCATATCAGAGGGAGGAAAATGAAGGTGGAAATTGAGAATATCCTCCAAATTGTAGTAGCGTTGCACATGAGAGTGCAATAGTCTCACCAAACCCAGCTCTGTAGAAACACATGAAGGACACATGCAAGTATTTCATCAAACATTAAAATGATTGGCACTTTCATAAGCTACGGACCGATAGTACGCTGAAATGGATTGTGGTTGAATGAATTGTGAAAATGTTGAATAGAACAATGTGAAAAGCCCGCTTTTACATAATACGTGGCAAAAATCGAGATGGTAAAGAAAAAAATCTCATTCTCGAAAAGGGAAAATTAAGCACTTTTTAAAAACACCGAACGAAAAGGCACCTTTAAAGGCTTTTAGAAAATGAAAATAAGCACCTTTAAGAACTTTTTAAAAACGCTACGCACCATGATTATTATGATTTCCTATTAATTCTTCCCGATTTCAGAGGAAAAAACTCCCCTTAGATAATGACATTCACACAATAATTCACTGTTTCTGAAGGATTTTAATAACTAGTAATAGTAGTGCATTATTTACATCACACTAGAGCCTCACTATGAGCTATTGGCAACAGCCTGAGAAACATTTTTGAAGATAATCCGAGGACATGCCATCACAATTTTTGATGTTTTGCAGAGGGGAGAGACTCTCCCACTCTCGTATCCTGACGACATGCACACGAAGTTAACCACTTTATTGTAAAACAGTATATTGAGGACTGATAGAATGCATTTTCAGCCTTATGCAGGTTGGTCAATGTAGTCACACATCCCCTCACTGATAGCTGCTAGTGGAGCTTGAATTCAGTTATCTACCAGGAACTGTGTCTTACGATCACTCCACTGCAGGATGGATTTCAATAAGAATTTTTAAAAAAAACAACTATTTATTTTTCACTCTAAAATTGTTTTTTTTTTAATTATCTAAGGATTGAATTCAAAGGAAATAATAAAGTAAATTTCATAGTTATATATTATCCTCAATATTTATAATCAGAGGTGTTTAAAAGATAATAGTACATAATCATTCTTATTATTTAATAATAATCTTTGTAACATTTAAATTTACCACTGTTTTCTTGCTCCTCATCATAAGGACTTACAGGGGTCTGCCCAGACATTTTGTGAAAGGTCCTGTTTTTGTAAAATTGCGAAAAAACTATTCATAATTTGTGAATATAAAATAAGCGTTAAGTCACATTCTTTCAACCAGGGTCCTACTTTTGTGCATTTGAGCAAATAGGGTCTGTTATTGCAAAAATTGTTAAAAACCTTTTCAAGTTTGTAAATTGTAAATAGATGCAAGATTCTGCACAACAATTGCTGCTACTGAATTAGAGATGCAACATACAAATATTTGGCATTTAGCCTATACTGTTCAACACAGAATATTCATTTCAGGTGAATAATGGAAACAAAATCACTCACATTTTTAATAATTTCAATTGACCTATCTTAAATAACACTACAATATTAAAAGTAATACATACTTACTAATGTATTACTTTTAATGTGTAATGCATTAAGTAAACTTAAACAATTCTTAAATTTATAATGTTTTATTTAAAAAATTGCCAGAAATTTATTTTTATTTACAGAATATTTTATTAATTAATTTTATGAATAAATATAAATTGATCAATTATTTATTCACAAAAAAAAATTATGATTTAATATTGATAAGAATGCACACACGATGTTTGTAAAAGTAGAAATATTTTCTTAGAATACTACATTTGGAATTTAAACTAAAGGAAACTTANCCCCCCCCCCCCCGGGGAAGAGTTTTTCGATTAACAAGACAATAATGAAGATAAACAAAATTGTGAAGGGTCCGATTAAGAGATAAATTATTTCGTGAAAGGTCCGTTTTTATGAAAAAATATTTTGTGAAGGAACTGTTAACGGACCCAAATTTCTTCTAAACAGACCCCTGAGTTACTACAACTGTATTTTGATTCTTACTGAATTATATATAAATAATTAAATAGCAATTTTTAAAATGAAATGCCAATTACCTAAATCTTTAGTTGCAGGCTGGTTATCACCCAAAGGTTTGTCACAACACGGAAATCCTCCAATTGTAGCAAAACATGCATTTTTTGTCATATACAAGTAGAACAACACCAATAAAATTAAACAAAAAACTACAGCAAGCAGAAATGCTGATGCTTCGGTGGGAACTAAAAGAATAAAAATTATAACATTTATAAATATATATAAATAGAAATGAAGATATGTAAATTGAGAACTCTTAAAGAGGAAAAAAAGACATTCAATTTATTATTTGTTGTTGTTGTCCAATTATCATGAAGCATAGTGCGTCTTTCAGGAGAACTATTCCAGACACCCGTCTCGCGTCGTGGCGGGTACCATAGTTACGAGGAAAAGTCACTTCGAATAGGGGTGGGTGAATAGTTTTATCTTAATCTTGGCATAGGTCGTCGTGAGTAAACAAATCGACACCTTCTTTCCTCAATTTCACCCCCATTAGAAATGTGCTCACACTTGTTACCATTGTAGAAGACAGCCCCTGACTTTTAGTCTGGAGGAGTTCTCCTCAAAGCCACACTACATAAAATTTTGATCAGAAGATTAATATAATGTAAAAATTTTCTCACAACCTAATTTTCTAGAAATCTTTTAAAGAGTTTCATTGTTAGGTGAAATACTATCATACAAGAAAATACATCGAATTCTGTTACTGTGAATCTTTAAGAGAAAAATATTAATATGTACTTAAAATAGAAAAAATTTGGTTATTTACAAATTATCTTTTTTTAACTTATGAAAAAAATTTGAAATGAAAAGTTTAATCCATAAACAGCATATTCATTAATTTAAAGCCATTAGTTTTTTAAAAAAATACCAATAATAAATATGAAAATAAATGAGTTATGACTAAGTTAGTGCAATTATTATACTAATATTCAAGCCAAGCACTAAACACAAAGGTTTCTGTTTACAAACGAACTTTTCCACTTTATTGAATCAGTAAATATCTTCCCTTAAGGAATGAAAAATCCTCTATACTTAATGCATGCTCGAGTATGAATACAAAAGTTTATGTTTAAGAAATATTGTAAGGTATAATAAATGTCAGAAAAATAAACAAAATTCCAAATTCATATACATTTTTAATATCATTGCAAATCACAACATTATAAACAGGCATTTAATAAGTTGAAGATAAAGTATTTTTGTCGAAGTAACTTTTGTTATTGCTGAAATTAAGATAAGATTTAAAAATTATTAAACCATATGCCAAGCGCAGCAATATTAAAAACTTGTCTTAAACCAACTTAAATTTATTATAAATGCATAACACAAGAGAAATATTCGTTATAAGCATATGTTCATAGTTAACATTAGGTTTCATGAAATCCGATGAATTATTTATGAAACGCAGTTTTAAACTACGTGATTCTAATGCAAGAAAATTATGTCATTCTTTTTTTTTCTTCGCTGTTCATAGAAACTCACAAAGAAGAAAACCTTACATTATTAGTTTCTAACAAAAATTATTTTAAGAAAATCTTCATAAATCTATCCATAACATATGCGCCTTTTTTAAACTAATAAAACGTTCAAGTTAAAATCAAAAAAATTTGCTTGAAACCAATTTTTAATTACAACTAGCATTTAGTCTTACCTTCAATCATGATTTATCGAAAAGACACATCACAATTGTCAAATTTGACAGTAAATGTTTATTTTCATTTTGCTTGCAAAATGCAAGGATTCCGAAACTCTGAATACGATTGCCACTTTTTTAAAAATAATGGTAAAATTTATAATTTTAATAAAATATCATTCTTCTTATATTGTGCATCTTTTATATTAGAACAATTTTTAATCTTTATTTATTGCATCAAAAGCAAGAAATTTTAAAACTAATTAGAAAACAAGCATATAAAAAGTTTTTATTTAGGTTCAAAAAACGAAGAATATGGCAACGTTAACTCACAACATTCACGTTGTTCGTTGTTCTTTTCTGCTGGTTTTTGTTTGTGATGTTAAGAAGTTATGTTTTAGCGTCTGTTGTTGCAGTATTTAATTTTTGAAGTATTAAAACTATAAAAATGGCTAATAAATACTATTATAATGATCAAAATATGAACTCAGATGACGAAATAAGTACATCTAGTGCTGAATCCAGCGACGACGATTACATTGATGTTGAAAACGGTGAAATAGACAAAACGTGGGCTTTAAATGAAAAAAGGAAATCTTGCAAAAAAATTGTGCTAAATCAAAAGATTACAAACACACATATTAAAGTTGACAAAAATAAGGTTCAAAATCTTAATTTGTTTATTAATTTTCTTATTCAATTTCTACAAACTATGTTAACAACTTAACTGAATTATGCATTGAGGATTGTACCTAATTCATGAATATTAATTTCTCTTAGTTATTTTAAATTATGTAGAATTTTCTCACGTATTATTTATTAAATTTGCTTTGATCTTTATTCTATATTTCAAGCCTGTGGGTAGACGAATACAAAGATATTTATATTCTTAAGATGTTAAGTTACTTCAAAGATATTAAGTTATTTCTTACATTATATCCTTGAGATTTAACATTGAATTGTGTTTGGCACCTCACATTATTAACTGATCTTAATCCCATAACTTTGTCTATTCTTAGTGTATGTTAATCTTGTTAGCAAACGCAAGGTTATACTTAGTTATTAGTTGTAATATTTTTTGCCAGATGAGTTATTCTGCTTACATTTTTATAACATTTGATTATATGAATTCTTTGTTAAGTAAATATACTTTCTTAATAAAGTTTATATCTAAGCTCATTATTTTTATTAAATTTAAAAATGAACTTCAATTGTTTCTGTTTACTGTACCGATCTTTATGGAGATATTAATTTTTGCACAGTGTTAAACCTCGTTATGTATCAATTAGGATTGTATGCATTGTTGTATCTATTATTTAACATTAACATTGTGATCGTATAAATTCAAACTTAGGATATAACATAAGAGAAGGAAGAGACAAGATTGATTTAAGTTAAGTAAAAAAATAATTTAAAAATTAAATTAATTTCTGTTTAGCCTTGAAAAAAAAAAGAAAATATTGTAGAAAATTAATTAGCTAAGTTAAATCAGGATAAAATAATGTTCAATATTATTACAGTTTATTAATTGATAAGAAAGTTTCTTGGTTACATAGTTTTAACAAATTAGTAAAAGGTTTTTGCCCACATGGCATTTATTGAAAAATCAAGATTTATATAATTTCAAAATAATATAAATTACAACTAGGCACTTGTAGGTTAAATTTAAGGGGGAAAGAAAATATTAGATATAACAAAAATACATACTTAAATTTGATGGTGTTACTCCTAGGAGGATAACTCAAAAAAGCCACTCAGCGGTGGCATTGTTTTTCAATTTCAAAGACAAAATCATTGTGCTAACCAATCTCAGTTTAAAGGAGAGTTAAAATATTAAAGTATTACAAAATTGGAGTTTATTTAAAGAACCTAGTAATGAAAATGAATAAAATACAGTCATGAATATAATAATTATTAAACCACTGGCCATATTACAAATGAATTATTATCAATATTTGACTGTATTACTTATAAGCATACTTAAGTTTTATATACGATATAGTGCATCCTAACTGTATGGAAGCTCTTCTTATGTGGACATCTCACATTAAAGATATAATATTTTGATTCCTTGACAACTTTATACATCTGCTATGCAAATTAGCATGTTCATTCCTAGAATGTGTTTAAAAATGTGATGCTTCTTATATAAAGCTGGCAATTCATTCAGCTTGTTCGCAAAACTAATTTATAGCTGTGTTATTGTGTACTAAGCTCATTTGCTTAATCCGCAAAGCGATAGAATTCTATTTCCTAACTGAAAATATTGAGGATTTTTATATACTCTTCAGTATATAAATGGGGGGGAGGGAGCATTCCAATGGCCACTTGTCTTTAGATCATTAACGAAGCTGAAAAACAGATTTCATTATTCTGCAAGGACAACCAAGTGTAGAATTCTGAAATTAAAAGGTGTGCATGATCTTCGAAAATCAAGAAACCCAAGTAAAGACTCAATGTCAAGATGTGTTAATCTAAAAAAAGTCTGTCGCTATCTCAAAAAGAGACATCTAAGAGATGGCATCCAAACATGTACTCACAGTGAGTAAGCACACCATAAGATTTCAGCTGGCTTGTGTAAAAAAAAAATTTAAAAAAGCCTCTCTTCGATATCAAGAATATGATGATCCGGTTGAAATTTGCATAGGAGCATAAACAACTAAAAATTGGAAGAGGGTTCTTAAAGGGATGAATCTAAATTCAATTTGTTTGAAAATGATAATTGATTTTTATTTGGTGTGAAACATGGAAGTGGATCAGTAATTGTCTAGGAATTCCATCATAATAACGTCACCCCTTTGTACACATTGATGATACTATAGATCAATATGTTAAATTATTTTAGTTTGTATGTTACCCTAGGCATGTATAAAGATGCCTTGTAGATAGATGTTTTAGCCTAAGAATAATACTATGCACACTTCCAAAATTATAACTAGTTGGTTTACAGCTAAAAAGGTTAAAACTTTGAACCAGCCAAGTCAATCACCTGGCCTGAACCAATGGAACATCTTTGGAAATTCATTGGACAAAAAGTTGGGGCATTGAAGCATTCTTTAAAGGCAAAACTATTTTTACATTAATGTTTTAAATCGATTACTATTTCATTTTTGTGAAGATCATATTATTTTAGTAGCTAGTTTTAATCGTTTTATCTTAATTATTGACATTATGGTACATTTGAATTTTTTTTTAAATAAATGGTCACAATCTTTAAAAATAATTTAAAACATGCATAATGTTAATGTTCATAACTAATGTGATTATTTAATTCTTTTTGTATCAAATATAGTATACATTTTATNATTTTAAGTAAACTAAGAAATATTGAGAAAAAGGAAAAAAAAACCCTGTTGAAATTTTTTTAAAATTTAAACTGTTTTTTTATTTGTTACTTAAGAAATTTTCCGGAATTTTGACGTGGATTCACAATCACCCCTGATGTTCATAACTAATGTGATTATTTAATTCTTTTTGTATCAAATATAGTATACATTTTATTAAATATAAATATTGCTAAAATTCTGCTTCTTTTTTTTTTTACCTGGAATTTTATGTAACATGACTTAAAAAAAACCTAGGACAATCAAAGAAAAAATTTCTTCTTTTTGAGTATGAACCTTGTTTCGTTTTTGATATCATTGATCAATCCACATAAACAGGCAATTTTCTTGATCTTATGGTCAATTTTTAAAATAGGTATCACTGTTCTTAGTTCATTTTGTAGCTGTATTGTTTAAATAAATTTATTTATTTATTTGTATTTATTCTACATTTAAAACTATCCATTATACTTTTGCTATATTTTTCCACAATTTTTTAATGCAATAAATAAAAAATCCAAATTAATTCTCTGCTTAAAGATATTAAAGTCAAGATTTTATCCATAACTATAAAATTATTTTTATGTATTAGTCAATAACTCCAGCTGTTAAATTTTGTTATGTGCTTAATTTTTTTTCTTAGAAAAGACATCATAATGCCAGTGAAAGAATGAGACGTGAACAACTAAAATCCTGTTTTGCTGCTTTGAAAACTGCAATTCATCGACCTGATGTAAGTTTATTTTTCTTGCTTTATATTAATTCTGCTACCAGTTTTAGAGTTGTGCATAAGACATTTTACGGAAGCAAACCAAGTTTTTCTCTCTGTTTTTATCAAAAAATTTGCTTTTCAAAGTGTTAAAATATCAAGACAGAAAATTTATAATTGTCTGGAAATTTGATTTTGGCTCTGAAAATTTTTGGGAAAAAAAATTTTTTTTTTTCAAAACTAAACTTTTCAGCAATATACCTGGAAAATGATCAATCCTAGATTTGTTAGTATCAATTATTGATATTTGAGTTCAATTTCATAATTCTACTACCTGTTACAATTAATTATTCCTTGTAAAAGTTTTACATTTCAGTCGAATTTTTTTTATGAAGTCTTCATTTAATGATAGTTTGCTTCTCACAAAATTTATTATTTTATGTATCAATATATATATATATATANTGTATCTATCTAAAATATATATATATATATATATATATATATATGTTTTTCCAATGAAAAATTGTAATGAATGAAAAAAAAATATGGTCTTAGATTCTAAAAAATATACCAACACTTAAATATACTTAAAATATACATAACCAAAAGAGTTCTTACAAATTTTTAATTTTATAGTGAAGCTCATTGACACATACAATCCTATTCTACAGTCTTGATATAATTCATGTTATGTAGTGTTAAACACTAGATACTTTTATTTCCATACTATACAAGAACATAGTGCACAGTATTCATTAACTAAAGTTTTTTTTTTTTTAATATTAACCATATATGTTTTTAACATAACATAGTACTTAATCAATTTCTATGCAAACATTTGATGCAATAAATAATGTGATTATTTTTATTAATGTGTAATCAGTAACTAAATAAAGATCTATTATATCAATTGCAGTATTTTTCAAGAAACAAGTTTATTTAAGAAAGAGCTGAAAATATGTGCTGGCATTTTTTTTTTTTTTTTTTTNTTTTTTTTTTTTTTTTTTTTTTTTTTTTTTTGATATTTCGTGTCTGCTTTGAATTGTATCAATTAAAATAAGTGTTTTAGCATTTATAATTTTTAAAATTTCGTTTAAATGGATAAGTCTAATTTTATATAATATAAATAAGCGCAACTAAAATTGGCAAGCAAATTCATTTTGACTTTTTTACTTAAATTGAGTTAGTGAAAAATAAGCAAGTGAAATTTATTAATGTAACGAATGAAATTATGTTTCACAGTAAAAAAAACAACAAAAAAAACATGTTTTTCCTCTAAATTAATGAGGAAATATTTATTTATTATTAATATTTATTAAATTGTTATTACATTAAGTTATGAAAGTATCGTAATGAACTGGTGCTAAAATCTTTTTTATTCTTAAGGAAATTTACGATACTTTTTGTTTGTGAATATAAAACCATATTTAAAGTTTTTTGTATTTTATACTGATTATTGATGTTATCATGATTCGTATTTTTCTATTAATGCTCTAGAGCTCAAACAATGAAGCGCTGAAATGTGTTTCAACTTCTATTAAAGATACCCAGTTATTAATTGAAAAGTGCGACGAGAAAATTAAAGATTATGAACGCAAAATAGTGTCTGTTTTAGGACAAGGTAAATATAGTTTATCTCTGATATTTTTTAGGACATCTTTCCTATCCTTTAAAACAATATAGGACAGGATAGACATCTTGTCTATCCTTTAGGACTTACTTCCCACATTTCTTTATGTAATTACTTACTTATATTAAGGGGTATTTTTACAGAATGCAGTTGCTGCTCCTCTCAGGGGTCTGTCTAGGTATTTCTGAGATATGCCTATTTTGTGAAAATTTAGACATAATTTGTGAAAAATTATGTTAAAAAGTCAACACAAAAGTATGGATTTATCGTTTCTTACTGAATACAAAAATAAAATTTTAAGAAAAGGTATTTTTTTAAACTACCTCGTCTATTCTTTAGACTTCCCACATTTCATTATGTAATTACTTACTTATATTAAGGGGTATTTTTACAGAATGCAGTTGCTGCACTGTGAAACTACCGTTTTTCCTAACGTGGAATATGTAAAGATACCGCTAAACGGTAGTAAATATAGCCTGGACAGACCCCTGCTTCTGATATGTAAATCTGATGTGGAGTTTTTGCAGAAAACATATTTCACCGATCAGGTTCTCATATCTCCTTGACAGCAATCAGAGATGCTGTGAGTATGCTTCCTTAAATTTCATAGTAACTATGTAAGAAATTTTTGCAATTCCTCCACATGATCTTTGAAGATCGTATAAAAGCTTCAGCTAAATTTATCTAAAAAGATCAAAAGGGATCTTGATTTTTTTTTCTAAATGAATATATCCCATGTAAGTAAAGTATTAACATAAATTTAGGTCACATAATGGAATTATGGGTCCAAAATCATAATATCTCAAATTTTCCCAAAATAAAAAAGATAAAATTATTTAATTTGGCATAGAGTAAGCTTAAACAATTTAGACATTATTCCAATAATCATTTTACCTATAATTGAATTATTATTTTGTTTAAAATATTGAGTGACTGGGAATTACGTCGGATTCAAACAAATAATTTGAGTCACACATGAGGTAAATATTCATCACCTTTTTTTTTTTATTGTATTACATTTCATAAGTTAAAAATTATTCTAAATTATAGTTTAGTACATAATGAGTTTTTTTATTATTATTATCTAATGTGCTGTATTCAAGTAAAGAGACATTAATTTAAATAATAAGATTTATCTTTCGAACTTTATATAAATTTTTTTCGCTCTAAGCACATGAATCCGGGCTGAATTTCTTAAAACATTCATATGTCGTAATTAATCTGTTGTTATCAACTGCAAAAGGATTGTTTCTACTTTAGCTAACAGGTCCGTAAAATATACATCATCCAAAATGTCTCGCTATGGTCAAAGAAAATTTCCAAATTCCTGTTCCAGAAATTTCATTTAAACTTTTTCGTTGTCCAAAATCTTAGCTATTTTTCAAATAGAAAATGAGTCACTATCATAGTATACGGCAAAATATTTTTGTGCTTTTCTTTAAGTGTAGCAACACTTTTTTGCATCTTTCAAGGCGAAATGTTTTTAAAATTGCTTCGTTTTTTCTTTGTCACTAATCAATTCCAAATTAGTATGTTTTGAATTTGAGGGACTATCTATATCATCTTGGGGTTCTTTTACTCTTGTAAGCAAGGTTTCTCTTGGTATCTACATTTTTCAACTTTGAAGTTTCCCTCTTTTTTTTTTTTCTTTGTGTTTAATTTCTCATTTATTTCCTTTTCTCTAGCAATCACAAAGTTGAAGAAAGTTTGATTTATTATAACTGTAAACTTTCTATTAATTTGTCTTCTTATTTCGGAATTTTGTGCTCAAGATGTGTGCCTTAATTGCTAACTTAGTAATTCTTCAAAGCTGAAATTATTTAACGAGTTGCAAGGGCTTAATACTTCATAAACATTTGGATATAATGTTGTATAGAAATGTTGTACTTGAAACACTAAAAACTCTTTGAGGAAGAATTTTGGAGCCTGTAAGATACAAGCATTCTGCAGCAAAACCTTTTTTCTGGTTATATCCCAGTGGCACAGAATTCTGCTTGAATGATAGATTCATTCAAGGCTACTGGCCATGTCTCATCTACTAATTCTGTAAAGCTTGCTTTACTTAGTTTTACTCCTGCACAAAGATGCTGCACTTTCACACACTTTTCCTCCCAATCCAATTTTAGTGGTCTAAAGCAGCATTTATCCAAAGTCTGTAAAACATTAGTGATAGTGCAGGATGCTTCAGAATTGTTATATTTTTTGTATGAGATTCAGTGACGTGTTGGTTTTGTGTCCGTCTTATATCAAAAGAAGTGGATGTTTAGTGACTTTTATGCAAAATATGTTGAACAAGCCTTCAAATATTTCTGCTGACATCCATCCATTTTCACTTATGGCTAATGACTTATTCTTATTGACTTTTGCTGACTTCCAAGTACTTTAAAGTTTTTTGCCATTGAATATGATCAAAGGTGAGAGTCTTACTACCAGCATTGACATATGCTGTTACTGTGACAGATTCTCTTTCTGATGTCCAAGTTAATCGAGCAAAAAGTTTCACCATCTCATCCACAACTTTTTCTCTTGAGAGAACCTTAAACATAGCTGTTTCATCCAAGTTTTAAATATGAGATAAAGAAGAGATAAGACTGAAATCATCAAGCTCATTTTCAAGTAATTTTAAAAATTCATTTATGGTGAAGCCATTTGAAGTTGCTATCACACATCATTTTTCCATGCTTCTCGACTTCTTATTACTGAAATCTTTATATTTTACAAGAAAGGCGGATAACCACTCATTAGGTGAAATGTTTTTAAATTGACAATATCTTTCCAAATAGTTGGATATATTGGACGTACCTTCTATGTTTTTGGAAATTAATTCTGCAACCACCAATAAAATTTTGAAAAAGCTCTTTTTATTATACATTTTAAGCAGTTTTCATTTTCTTCCATCTTGGGAATACTTAAAGGTACTCCCACAGATTTCTTTGCAACTTTTTCTTTGCAAACCAGCGGGTTTGAGTGGCTGCTGCTCTAATTCTCAAATTACCAATTTTTTTTAACTGATATTACAGTAGTATATATTACATAATATGTTACAGTAATTATATTAAGATATGTAACAGAAAAATATTATAGTAAAAGTTAATCTGTACTAATATTATTTACACAGAAATAATTAAGAAAAACACCTAAAAAATAAATTTATACAAAACGGTTAAAAGTAAAAATGATGGTTGCAATTTAATTATAATACAAAGTTACATTTAAAGTGTAATATAATATTACAGTAAATTATAGCACTTAAAGTAAATACTAATATTATTTACACAGAAATAAATGAAAATCATAAAAAATATCAGCAACCAGGAATTACCCAGTGATCAAGAATTATTCCAGTAAATTGGAGGATAAATCATTATTAAGAAAATATTAATCATTATTAAGAAAATGAAATATAAATCAATAATTAAGAAAAAATATAAATAGGTATAAAAAGCTTTGACAATTTCCCATTTAAAAACATCTCCTTTTTTTTTCTTTTTTTTTCAGCATTGGTTGTTTAAAGATGTTTCACTGAAACAATCTTTCTTTTTTGAATTTTTTTTTTATAGTAGTATAAAAATTCCTATATTTATACTATTTGATGCATTGTTACATTATTTTTAAACTTCGTATAAAAAAAATGGAATATTTAAGGATGACTCGGCATGCTTTCGTTTATTTTAAAAACATTTCTTATTGCTAAAAAGTTTACCTACCCCACCCCTAAAAATGGGGGGAATGACCTAGAATTCCCCTGTATGACCCTATGTTCGGTTTGGTTTTTGATAAATAATTATAATTTTTTTTTTTTCTTGTTTCAGTTGAAGCTGGTGAAAGTGACAAAATAAGCTTTGGAAATAATTAAGGAACTCATACAAAACTTTTCTCCGTACATGTGTTTTTAAAACTTGTAAATATTGCTAACTTTTATTTTCATATTTTTTTCCTTCTCATCAAATTATATTTTATCAAGCATATTTACTATTAAAAAGTAAATATATATACATACATTTCATATATACATTGCATTATAGTTCATTTTTTACAGTGTGTGTAATATTTTATTAAGTAATTGAAAATAATAAAATATGTGTTATGAGTTTATTGCAATTATTCTTAGGGTAACAAAAGCATAAATTAGCTCCATTATAACCTTTCAGTTAATAATGTTTAGTGTCCAATTAACATGAATTTTTCAAAGGAGGAAGTGAATTTTTAATATAAATGTTCACTTCAGAAAATATGAACTTAAAAAATAAAATATATTTTTTATTAGAATGTCTGTGCAATCATTTGGAATAAATTATTTAAAAATAAATTGCTTTGTTAGTTGGTGCTTCTTTAATGAAATAGTGTCATTTATTTAGAGTTTAAAAAAATTTTAAACTTGCACCTTTATTTCATATCTAAAAAGTATTTTATATTTATTAATATGCAGGGTTGCCACAGGTGACTGAAATAAAACTGTTTGCAACTATTTTCAGCATAAGGCGACTATGGCAACTTTTTTTTGCCTGAAAAGGCTAAAAAAAAAAAAGCTACTATTTTCAGGAAAAAGGGACTATTAGGAGACTTTTCTGTACTCCTAGCAATGTTTTTTTGCATAAATTGGGTGGAAAACCTGCAGCCCGCGAAATCTTCTGAACACAATGAATTTCTTTTCTTAAACGATAAAAAATGTAAAAAAAAAATTTTTTTTTAATTAAATAAATGATTAAAGCATTAAAAGATGAAAAATTTTAGATTGCAAATTTGAGTCATCACTGTTTAATGCTTTCAAATTGCACAAATTTTGTCGTAAGTCTGTTTCGTTTCTCGATTGCCTTTTCAACACGATTATTGCTACGAAATTCTACAGTTTTAAAAATCCTAATTTTTTATACGATATTACGGTGCATGAATTTTGAATTTGAGTAGTCACTTTTCACAATATATATACAGTCAAACCCCGCTATAGTGAACCTTCATGGGACCGAAATTTTGGTTCACTATATCCGTTACGCAGATAATTTAACTAATGGTTTCCAAACTCCTCCCTTTTATTACACATTATTCAAATAAATGACTGAAAAATATTATGTAGTAGCAAAAAATGTGTTATTTTTCATTACTCTTCGTCTTGCGTACAAAAAAAATTAGTAATCTTTAGCTGATGAGCAATCCTCAACATCAGTTATGGAAACACTTCCCGACTCTCAGATAATTTTTCCTGAATTTCTGTTATTCCGTTTTTTAAACCTGTCTAATTAGCCATTCGAGCACATGAAAGTAGTCTCATAAAATCACTTAGCAAATTCATCCACATTTGTCTAGATACTGGAAGATTGCGGCTTCTTCGAATGGTGAACCACTTCAGTAATGCTTCTTCAACATCCTTGCGATCTGCTTTTTTCAACTTTTTCTGCCATCTAAATTTTTTTCATGAGTAGAAATTATTAATTGCCTATTTTTCCATGTTGTTACAAGCTTCAGATGATAGTTTATATTCCCTGAAAATATCAGAAAAAAATGAAGAAAGAAATCAGTCGAAGACAGAAAAAAGTTCATTATATCCAACTTCCTCACTTTTTTGGTTCACTATATCCACAAAAAATAACATTATGCTTGTATAGCAAGGCACGGGACCGGACATTTGGTTCACTGTAAACCGTGTTCACTATAGCGGGGTTTGACTGTATATATATATATGCTGAATCAATTATTGATAAAAAGGGAAAATTTCTTATAAGTGATTTTCTTTTTTTAATGAAAAAGTATTTTTTGAATGAATTCTAGTAATTAAAAGTATTTAATTTTCTGCAAATATACTAGTTTTTTTTTTATATAAAAATTTAGTGCTGGAACACAAACGTTTATATAAAAATTATCATATTTGCCACCAACTTGACTAAATGGATCATGGTATATGAAAATTAAGTCATTTAATAAAATTTTTGTCTTATTTTTTGCAGAATTTTTGTTTTTATTTAGGCAATTATCTTCATAGTTTTCGGCTACTAGAAGCAACTTTTTTGTTCATATTTTTTCTGTGGCAACCCTGAATATGTATACAGTACTCTCTAATGTATATTAAAAATCACTCTTAAGATTTGACTAATGTCAACTCATTTGACTTATCAGGATGCATAACTCAAAAATAATGTGATCTAATTGTTTCAAATCAAAGCAATAGTATCAGTTATTAACATCATTACTTCTAATCACTTGTAGCACATTACTTCTGACCACTGTCAATGATAATGTAAGAAATGCACATTGTTGTTGTGAAAGCTTCATACTATTTTATCTGCCGACATTGCGAACCAAATACATAAAAAAGGGTAATAGCTTAGCAAAATCTAAATTTTTATTTCTTGCAATTAACAAAAAGTTCTAATTCTGTCTTTAAGTATATAATTAATAAAGACATAATTTGTTTTCTTGTTAATTCTTGAATTAAAAATAAAGTTTGTGTTTTTGAGAGATTGATTACAATTTACTTTTGAACTATTTATGTTTTTATTTTTCTAAAAAAATCAATCTACCTGATAAATTCTAAGTTCACGTATGAGTTTTAAAACATCAGTCCAATTTGTTTATTAGTTAGAAAATGCTCTAAAATATTGTGATATTTAAGTTTAAAATTTTTATCATACTATTCTTGCTTAAAATAAAAATTATGGAAAACAGTTTTATTTTGTGCAACTTCTTACCTGTCGTGGGCTCCTTTTTTAAAGGGTGGTTCATTGTGCTTCATTTTTTTCTGCTAGTAAGTTTTAAGAAAATTATTTGTATTTACTTCTAAATTGTACATACGATCCCATTCAAATAATGCAATAACTTTAAAACAATATTAAGTTCAATTGTTTGTTTTTTTAAGTTTTGAAAAAAATTATAGAATTAAAAAATACATAATTACGTAATGAAATTTTTGTATCCAGATTTATAGCAAAATTAAAAAACTAAACTTGTGTTTCAATAAACTGTGATTTAAAATTTTAATACAATTCATTATAAATAAGCAAAAAATGAATTTCATAAATATAACTAATGTTTTAAGAAAATAATCCATTTAAGGTAATAAATTCTTTATCCTGAATAAATTATTTGACTCAATGACTGAAAATATTCTTTCATTATTAATGAAACAGTATGTATAAATCAAAAGATAAAACCCGCTTAAACAATTGATAAAATTGGAACACAATCATAAATACAAAAGGAAAAAAAAAATTAGGAAACAGTAATGAATATCACAAACTTCAAGGGTTTCAAAGCAGGGTTCGTTGATTTAAATCTGGATTCCTAATGCTCTTCATAAGTCTTTTACATAAGTGCATATTTTTCACATCAAGAAAAGGATCTTTATAGAATTCCAAGCTTGGTTGGAATAAAATTAAACAAACACAAGTTGAATGATTTCAACGTACAAAATAATTTACATAAAAAATCCAGAATATCTTAGTAGACTCCTCCCTCTCTGGGGTGTCTGTGACAATTGAGATGAGTTTCTTTTTCTAGTAGTTTCAAGTTTTTAAATTAACTAAGGCACTGGAAGAAAGGTAAAAAAGCCTCAGGAGCGTTAAGAGGTCCATACCAGGGCTAAAGAAAATGGAATCTTTCTTCTCTTCAGCCCTGGGCCCATACCCTCGCCACCTTGGATTCTAGGTAAAAAGTTGTACTTAACTTTTGATAAAATACATAGTGCGTAGCGTTTTTAAGTCTTAAAGGTGTTTATTTTTGTTTTTTAAAAGCCTTTAAAGGTGCTTTTTTTCATTGCGTTGTTTTTAAAAAGTGCTTAATTTTCCCTTTTCGAAAATGAGATTTTTTTTTCCTTTTCCATGTCAATTTTCGCCACATATTATGCAAAAGCGTGCTTTCCACATTGTTCTATTCAAGGTTTTCATAAATCATTCAACCACGATCTATTTCAGTGTACCATCGGTCCATAGTGTATGAAAGAGCTAATCATTTCACAGGTTTGCTGAGCTGCGTTCGGTGAGATTATTGCACTCTCACGTGCAACTCTGCTGCATTTTGGAAAAAATGCTCAATTTCAAGCTTCATTTTCCACCCTCTGAAATCGAACCGAAAAATCTCTTGATCATTTTTTAATGGCTAATATAATCAAGAAAAGAGTTCTTTGTCAAAAACTAGTTATTTTATCATAGTCATGTAAAGTATGAAAATTATTTTGTTAATGTATATAGTGCTTAAAAATATTTCTGAGTGCTTAAAAGGTTCATATTTTTTGTTGAAAAATTTGGCTACGCACCCTGATATAGTATTATGAAACTGTGCAATACCTCTCAAGAAAGGTAGAAGATAAGGTGTCGCCTTATTAGAATAGGAGAAATGACGCTTGATAATTTTTTGAACTTCTATGAATTTTTTCTCAAAAATTTAAAGCAATAAAATATGCAATTTGTGGTTTTGAGTTAAGTAATTTAAAACTACACATTCCTCAGTTTTCAGATTTTTTTTTAAATGTAATCTTATTAGTACTCTTAGATTCATTTTGAATATATTTTATTTGCAATTTTTAATGATTTTTTCGCGAATTTTTTTTTTTTTTTTTAATTGTATTTTCTTTACGTTACAAAATCTATAAGACTTAGAAACATGAAATTTTGAATGTGCGTAGAAAATATGCAAAGAGTTAGAAAGAAAATATAATTTGATTATTAGTTTTATTTTTTTATAACCGCCGTTAAACAACCGACTCAATTTTGAGTTTCCGCTAGCTAGATTAGTACCCAGAGGTATCTCGCACTAGATTAGTAACTGCTAGATTAGTATCCAGAGGTATTGATTTGTTATGAGAACTTGGAGGACTTTGTGACCCCGACAGATTTAACATACACCAGTCACCATTTTATACATTGGTATTCTTCTGCCGGCTGGATTCAAACTCCCATGCTCATGAACACGAGTCCAACGCCCTATCAACCAGGCTCTCCCGGCCAAATTTAGTAGTTTATTTTATAACAGTCATTGCACAGCCGACCCAATTTCGAGTTTACGACTACTAATATTCAACTCCGTAGCCTTGTCATTTTGAACCCAATCCAGCAGTCCCTGGAGCAGGTGAGGGCCGTTATATTAATACTATTTGTAAAAATAAAAAGAGCATTTCGTAAGCTGATATTATTTAATTGATGTTTCTATTGAAAATATTTCTTAATTATTTTTGCTTTCTTTTTAATTATTTTAAGTACATTTGTTAAATTTTATTGAAAGAAAAAAATTATCATTATTTATGTAAGTTTTTGGCTTATATTTTTAAGGATTTATTAAAG